TTACTTTTGTGAACTGATCCCAATTATAAGAATTTTGAAAAAAATTATGTACATTGAAAAATCTTTGAGAACCATACTCTAATCCTATAATGGTAAATATGCCCCACTATAATAATTTTATTGCAAACACATAGAATATTCAAGAGTTATAGCCAGAACTCTACCCTTTGAATAAAAAAGGTAACAGCGCCGATATCCCTTTTCAGATTTTAATTGTGAAATATTATCATCAAAGTACAACCAGTCTGTGACCAAAGATTTCTAGATCCAAGGGTTAGGATTGACATTTACTGTTAAATAAGCAAAAATTCGACTAGAACACGTAAAAATATAACAAATCAGGGAGAAAAAATGGATAAATTATGTCTTGTTTTGCTATAAATTGTCAAATTTCTGAAACCCCCACCTATGGTTATAAGGCCGCTTATGGACACACATCATCACGTGATATAAGTATAAAAATCACGTGAATTAATAGATGTGTGTCCATAAGGGATGTGTGTAAACTAAGATAAAGGTGTCGCTTCCTTTTCCTTTTTTTTTCTTCTTTTAGCATTAAAAAAGGAGAAACATTTACATCGTTAGAAGTAGCTGAAAAGGCGCTACAAAATGAAGCTAAAAAGGCAGGCTTTTCCATCTCAAGAAGAAGTGTAGAGTCCATATTTTTGCGAGACAGATTCTGGCTAAATCTGTTCCTGATAACTGTAAACTGGCAGCTAACCCAGTTATTTTATTAACTCTTTGTGGTGGACAAGTTCTTGGGCATTACAATCTCATTAAATTGAAACCAATGGCACCTATCCCTCCAAAATCATATAATTATAAAGCAACGAGTGGAATGCGCATGTCGTATTTGAAGAAGGCACATATATAAAATAAATAGATGAATACCATTTACAATAGAATATGGAAATATTAGAATACCAGAATAATAAATGAAAACCTATTATTCGGTATAATACATGAAATGTGACACAATAACCTTAACAAAAAGGTGCATGACTAATAAATTTCTATAGAGTGCTGTGTGAAGTCAACTTGCTAGAAAGCTTAAATTGCTTAAATATATTGATTCCCATCATATATTCAAGACAAAACAATGAAAGCTTACTAATCTGGCATAATAGGCAATGAAACATGATATAATTGTAGAATTCGCTTAAGAATAGGCAATAAAATTAATGAGATAAAACTAAAACAATTTTATTCCTCTTTAAAAAAAGAGAAAAATCCAGAAAAAAGATCCAGAACTAACTACTGCATGGACTACTGGTATATTTATAATAAAACTTGATGACCTGGAGGAGTAACAATCGGGACATGTATTTTATATTAGTGCTTGATTAGATGTTCTATAAAGTGAATAAGTTTTCCCTTTCTGTGCATCTCTTATCTGCTCGTGAGAACTGACTTGAGAGCTCATTGGCTCTATCCAATTGATTAAGCGGCAACTATAATCATTCCAACACTTTCCTATACTTGAGTAACAATACCCAAACCCTGTATTAAAGTGCCGTTTAACGACTGCTTATTCATTATCAAGAAAACCTTAATCCTGTGTTGTATGTCTGAAATTGATAGCGAACAGTTAATGTTTTGATAAATAAGATCCAGTCTTTATATTTTATCTCTGAAATCCTGTTTATCCCAAGTAAGGGAATATCGACTCATACGCATATTATTACTTGTTTGTGAACCCTTACACCCTCCATGTACGTGCACTGATTCTACTACATATCCATTAATTCATATGTAGCACAGGTTTGAATAATGATGAATAAAAATGACATATCAATCTTATTATTCTATACTTGTACGTATATTATATTTTTGTTATTGCCTCTAAACATTACATATTATCTTTTATCATGAGTCAACAAACTAACAACCAAACTAGAACATCCAACCGTGGTCCAAGTTGGACTCAAGATGAAGATAAACAACTCTGTCGTTCTTGGCTCCATATTGCAACAGATCCAGTAATAGGAAACAATCAGAGTAGTGGAACTCTTTGGAGCCGCATTAAGGTTCACTTTGATGAGAATCTAGCTACTGAAGCCCGAGTAGTCGAGAGATCAGAAACTGGTTTGGCATGTCGTTGGAGTAATGTACAAAGCAGAGTTTCAAAATTCTGTGCTGCTGTTGCTCAGGTTGAAAGACTAAATGAAAGTGGTTCAAATCGTGATGACCAGGTACTGAATATTACATCAGAGTTTACAAAATTATGTTATTTGTATTTACTTTTTCTGCCATTGTAAAATACTATCTCAGATTACCAAAGCCAAAGCTTTATATACAGCTGGTTCTAAAACAAAAGAGAAGTTTAATCTTTTCCATTGTTGGGCCATCTTAGCGAATTCCCCAAAATGGGTAACTCCTACTGAGAGCACTTCAGTAAGAAACAATAGCAGACAAGTAAATAATATTTCTTCAAACAATATTAATACCAATAATCAAAGTTCTCAGAGCCAAGAAGAGACTATTCACGATCATGCTATCAGCGTAGAAGAAAGTGACAATACTCGTCCTGCGGGTACAAAAAAAGCAAAAAATAAGAGAAAACTAGATAGTCTTGCAGAGACTATCAGTAAACGCCAAGAGGCTGCACTAGAAATAGAAAAAAAAAATGGAAATGATGCAAAACTATATGGATATAAAAATAATGACTACGGATATCTCTCAAATTGAAGATACTAACTTGCATCGTTTTTTTTATGGAAAAAACAAGAGCTAAACAATCGCATTAATCAAGAAATGGGAGAAATAGATAGCAATGTTAATATTATTGAATTATCGAGAAGAATTGAAGAAAACTATGTTGTAGAAGAAGATGCCACCTTAAATAGTAATGAAGAATAACTTTTAATTATCAATTAAATAAAAAAAAGTGCTATTAGTAATGTATGTTAGAGCAACTCCAACGGGTTGTCTATTTCTAATTTCTAAAATAGAAAAAAAATTGGTTTCTAAAATAGAAAATTGCGTTTTTCCTCCAACGCTCTTCTCTAATTTCTAACCAATGCATTTGGTTGTATATTTTACATTGTACTTTATATTCTTATTATTCAAATACAATATGAACAACAACAACGGTAACAACAACAACAATGATTTGAGAAATTCTCTTCTGAAGGAACTCTCTGTTTTTTTTTTCAAGATGACGATTTTTTTTTAGATATGTTCAGTGGCAATAGCTATTTACAAACAGAGGTAGATAGCTTTCTTTTGGAGCAAGAGAAACTGAAAAGTGGTCATATCGGCTCTGTGGATGGACATAAAGTCAAGAATCGTGGCCGCACTATGGCGCATGACCGCCTATATAACGATTACTTTGGAGCAAATCCTACCTATGACGATGACGATTTCCGCCGTAGATTTAGAATGAGACGTAATCTGATCTTAAGGATTCTACAAGGCGTTGAAAGATGCGAACCATTTTTTGTTCAAAAGCCTAATGCTATCAATGAATTGGGGCTTTCTAGCTTACAAAAAGTTACTGCAGCACTACGAATGCTTGCTTATGGCTGCTCTGCAGATTCTTTAGATGAAAATCTACGTTTGGGAAAATCAACCATTCTCTTGTGTCTTACCAAGTTTTGTAAATCTGTAGTAAAACTTTACAAAGAAGTATATTTGAGAAGTCTAACACAGCAAGATGTTCAGCTCCTGCTTGAGGAAGGTGAAGCGAGAAGTTTTTCAGGTATGCTTGGATCTGTAGATTGCATGCACTGGGAATGGAAAAATTGTCCTCGTGCATTAGCAGGACAGTACACAGGAAAAAATAGTAAACCAACTATTATTCTTGAAGCTGTTGTCTCTCATGATCTATGGTTCTGGCATGCTTTTTTTGGACTACCTGGCTCTAATAACGACATTAATGTCTTGGACATATCACCTGTATTTTCAATGATTACTAACCAAGATGCCCCAAACACCAGCTTTCAGGTTAATGGAAACCACTATAATTTTGGATATTTCCTTGCAGATGGTATTTATCCAAATTACGCAACATTAGTGAAAACAATTCCTGCAGCAACTGTTGATAAAGAAAAGGTATGAAATTGAAAAATAAAATAAAAATTAGTATTATAATAGCTACTGTAAGATTAATGAATACACAGAATTTTTCAGATGCTCAAGAAGCAGCGAGAAAAGATGTAGAAAGGACTTTTGGTGTACTTCAGGCACGCTTTGCCATTGTTGCTGGTCCAGCAAGGATGTAGAAAGATGAAGATCTCAAACTTATTATGCAAACTTGCATAATTTTGCACAATATGATTGTTGAAAATGAAAAGGATGAGGATCTGCCCACTAGCAGTGACTACGACAAGGAAGCTGGTCAACCTACAGCAAATATACAACGTGGTCAAGTATTTGACCATTTTTATCAAAGATATGTAGAGATACGAAATGAGTTGACAAACAAAAATCTTACAAGAGATTTAATTGAAAACTTATGGCAACATAGAGGAAACTCGGTTCACTCTTCAATTAGTGTACACCACAGATAAACACTCATTCATACACATCGCAACGTTTGTAGAAAGTAAAAAGAAGAAAGTAGAAATCACGAACAATAACCTTTCTCATTCTTTCCTTTGGGTTATGCAGTATTGTATCTTACATTATGCACAGCACACTTTTGTCCGTTTTTCTTGTATTCATTTGTTTTGTTTTATTTTAATCCATTATTACTTATTCCCTGTTTACATATTATACATGTTTTGCCAGCTTTGTTTCTTGTACATTTTATTCCTTAAACCATAAATTTTGTTTTCATGACTATGTAAACGTAAATATCATTTAGAGCGATGGGGAAGGGCTTTGCGGCACGCAAAAGGTTTTAAGTAACTATCGTTATCGAGTATTTTACTACGACTGTATACTTCGTATTTTCCTGTTTCGCGAAACCGATCGACCACAATGCATTCTAAACAACTATAATTACTATTAAAATGTTAATACAGACCTAATAATCAAAAATCGCGATGCTATAAAACTTACTTGACCAAAGTTCTGATATCATCAGGATTTGTGGAAAGCCCGGCGTAATCAACAATCACAAGACATACTTTTTTAATATTCGCCGATAACTTTGATAATAAAGCTATACCAATCAAGGATTAGTCATTGTGTTGTGTATCATTCCCATATCTCCAGAACTTACTTTGTGTGCTCCCAGCACAATAGTTCAACTCCATTGTCTCAGGTTCCTTAACAGCATTAGGCATATCTCTAGAGGCAATGGGGCTACCAGCCAAACATTGTGGAGAGACATATATCAATTCAGCAAGTGACCTTTCCTTCAAGCAGTTAATCATATTTTGAAGATTAGCCTTTCGCCCATCATTCAACAGTTCACCTGGGCTTTTTCTTGCATATCCTATAATTTCAAAGCCATCTATCTTCAGATTGTCGATGTAAACCTCGTATCTTTTTTGATAATTGGCCAAATTGTGCGCTAAAAAGACTTATGCACGATGTTAGTACGGAGTTGTGTTCGTGAATTACGTATTTTTGCAGTACTATGTACCTCTATCCTTCTCTTTCATCAGATATATTATTTTGCGCTCGATTCGACTATTCTCAATGCGCTTTCTCAATGTTTGAGCTTTCAAGTATTCGGCACCACATTTTTTGGAAAATTGGGTAAATGCTCCAATTGTCTTATCTTGAAATAAACTTGTATGCTGTTTTGTAATCGAGAAAATCTGATCTGATGACATACATAAGCGTTCATATACTTCTTTGTTTTGTGGATCGTTTATTAGAAAGACATTATTTATGAATTCGATCAGCTGTGATTCAGAATCTAAAAGTTGTGGCGTTAGCTCATAAACTGTAATAAACAAATAAGAAAATAGGGATAATACTTACGGACTACGTTATCTTTTGTATCATTATCTACTTCTTCAATTGTTTCTTCAAATAATTCAGATTGTGGTCTTAATTCTGCATGACGGTACCGTTTGTACTTAAATGGGAAAAAATTGATTCTTTTACTTGCGAGAAGATATGGTTCTGACGGTGTATCAATATAGCAAAGCTCAACATCCTGGATTGCGGCAATCTTTGCTTCATTTAACATTTGATTTTCAGTAGTTAATGGATCGCCATAGAATATGCAAGCTGCTTGCGAATGTGTAATCTGTATTTCTAGGTTTGACATTCAAGTGGACGGGAGGTGGACGCGAGCTCCAAATAATAAAAAAAAAAAAAGTGGACGGGAGGTGGACGCGAGCTCTAAATAATAAAAAAAAGTGGACGGGAGGTGGACACGAGCCCCAAATAATAAAAAAAAGTGGACGGGAGGTGGACACGAGCCCCAAATAATAAAAAAAAGTGGACGGGAGGTGGACACGAGCCCCAAATAATAAAAAAAAGTGGACGGGAGGTGGACGCGAGCTCTAAATAATAAAAAAAAGTGGACGGGAGGTGGACGCGAGCTCTAAATAATAAAAAAAAGTGGACGGGAGATGGACGCTCCTTAGTGCTGTAAATATGCTATTCTAACTAATTTAATTGGGAAGTTGTACCATTTTGTCTCGAGTTTGGCAGCTTGTCTAAAAAAGAAAAATCCACCTTTTGAGAAAAAAGCCTAAAGTAATTATTTATGGGGCTCTTACAGCCAGCAACACACTCTTTCTCAATTCAATTGGCATACTCTAAAAACATATTTGAAGATTGCTTAAAAGGCAATCCTATCTAAATAAAATGTCACAGACAACTGTAAAAAATATTTACTGTGCGAGTCAAAGTAAACTCAAGCTTTTCAGTAATGTGACGATATACAGTGGACTCGTCAATTATTAAGCCTTGAAAAGCCTCACAAAGGGATTCTGTAGCATCCTTCACAATACAAGTAGGATGCTTTTCAATAAATACATAGTGGGTGTCCAAATAATATTTGGTAGAGGCATTACTTCTAAATCAATTTCTTCCATAGCCACTGCTGTATTAAAATAACCATCATCTTCATCCTCAGACGAAGACTCATAATCTGGAATACCTTCCATCTGGTACAACGACTTAATAGCCGCTACATCTTGTTTTGGCTGGTATTCAGGTTCTTCATCACAAGCGAATTCGCCAGAGCGTAGATAATGGTAGAATCTGGTTGTAATAATAAATAGGTTAATTTTATAAAAAGTATAAGAATGAGCAGAGTATTTATATCATTAAGAAAACACCAAAGCCAAAATGCCAATTCTAAACAAAGCAGCATTTGAGAGACGTTGTTGTTTCTAACCCACGGATTTGGAAAGGCTCTCAGGAAATGTATGCGTTTCTGACTCTTGAGATATATATTTCTGTGTTAACCCTCTGGTTTACAATAATTCTACTGTTGGTTTTTTTCCACTGTTGGTTTTTTTCCACTGTTGGTTTTTTTTCCACTGTTGGTTTTTTTTTCTACTGCTAATAATTTTTTTCTATTGATCTCAAGAAACTCTATTGTTAAAAAAAATTTCTATTGTTCAATAAAAATTTCTATTGGTTAAGAAAATTTTCTCTTGTCAAGATTAAAAATTCTATTTTCAAACGCAATTCACTGTATGCCTTATCCTTCTCATATTTACTGTAAATACTTTTTTTTTTGCATTACAATATTTGAACTTCTAGAGATAATTTTTTCCCATTAGATATATGTGATTCCATTGCGTGCAAATCCTGGAAGAAACATTCGTCGTCGCAGCTTGAGATTGACCTTCTGGAGAGAAATGATCTTCACAATAAACAATAATTTCTTTTTAAAAATCAATGTTTAGCACAAACCTGTTTTAATCTCAAGTAGATAGAAAACAGACATCGCCTCATCGTTTACCCTAGTGTGAATTAATAAAGATTAGTGTGACATGAAAACATTGATGTGGACAACAATGAAAGAAAAACATTTTTTTTTATTTTTATTTTTTAAGAGTTCAAAGACCCCCAAGCGTATTGTTCTAAAGAAATAAATAACAGTAGTGTATAAATAAAACAGGAATAAGAGAATAAATTTTTTTTGCATGTCAAATAAGTATGTAAAATGATTATGGAGTTTTTTTTTTGTCAGTTTTTCGTATAAAAAAAAAGGTGGGAAAGAAATATATGGGAATGAAAGTGTACAAAAGAGTTATTTACAATTTTAAAAGAGAGGGTCTAACAAGTTACCAGCATTAAATGTGTCTTCAATTGGTGTATTGTACAATTTGGAAAGCTGTTCAGCATCAGATGTGTTTGCAATATCAGAAAACATAGTGCTGTAGAAAGGATCGTCATCAGTAGGCATTATAAATTGATCAAAGAAATCGTTGTTAAAGGGATCTGTTGCTAATGTTGTGCTAGGGCTGGGAGTACAAGCAGCACTGTTTGTGCCGTAAGAACTAGTCGAATTCATGCGTAAACCAGGCACATCAGTACTTCCGCTTGAGGTAGATAAGGGCTCTTGCAAGAGTGCATCACAGAATATGGCTGCTTTAACGTCATTCTTGGTGGATTCTTCTTCGGCCAGCGAGAAGCAATCATTGAAATCAAGAGATTCAGTTGTTCCGCTAGTGCTTGACATAACTGGTGAATGAAGCGTTGAAGAAGCTTTCTTTTCAAACATAGCATTTTGGGCAGATAGAGCATCTGCTGTCAAAGGAACATTGTTGTTTTTGCTAGAAGAAAGTAGGTTCATAAGAGTGGTTTGTTGATTTGTTGTGTTTGTTAAGGAGGGAGGAGGGATAGGCGCAACACGCTTTGAGTTCTTGCGGGGTTGCAGTGATGGCATAAATTTAGAACGATAGATATCAAGCGCACGTTGGAGCATATTCTTCTTTCCAGCCAAATGTCTAGGATTTAACCAAGCCTATATACACAATACATATAAATAAATATATATATATATACATATACATATACACAATACACATATACACTCTACATACCAATTTCCATGCTAATTCATTGCACATTGTTTCTTCTACCCAACGCGTGTTGTTTGTAGCAGGCTTAGGCATGTTCATCGCCCGAGGATAAGGACAGTTGGCTTTGCGGAATTCAATATTGATTTCTTCGAGATCTACGGATTCTACGTTGATCTTGATACGGAAACGCTGGTTGTTTGTGTCTTCAATAGCAATTGTCTTGGGATGGTGAGCAGATTGCATACCAGACAAAGGAGAAGATGTGCTTTCCTGGTTATCAGACGTGTTGTTGCTGTGATGTTCATCACCATCACGATGTTTGCGTTTGCGAAGGGTACCATTCAATAATTTTTCTTGACGAGCAACACGACGCGAACGCATACTCGGATAACGATTACGGTAAGAATCAACAGCGCGTTGAATCAATCCACGTTTACCAGCAATCTCGTCCTTATTCAACCAAGCCAACTTCCATCCAAGCACATTACATTCTGTCTCATAAGCCCAGCGATTACCTGTGTACTCCTCTTTGGGTAAATTGGCTCGAGGATAAACCTAACATAAGCATAAGCTTCTGGCTGATTTAAACTTTAACCGAAACAATCAAGATACGTACACAATTGTCACTTTTGAACTTGTCATCAATCAGGGTTGTGTCAATTTGTTGAAGATCAGTACGAATTGAGTAGCGCTTCATTGTCCGGTTATGAGAATAGACAAACGAGACCCATTCAATACCGTCTCTGATTTCAGTGATAGGTTCATTGGGTGTTGTGTTTACTTTGACTGTTGGCTGTACTGGCTTGTCAGCTACTTTAGGTTCATGAACAGGTACTTGTTGTTCCTTATCCAGCCTTCTTCTCTTCACTTTGCACAAGGTTTGTTCAATAGCATGGATTTGATCCGAAGTCAAGAGTTCTAACAAAAATTCGGCTTTGGCAGTCGCTGTGATCAAGTCTTGAATAGACAGAGATGTGGGTGAGTGTAACATTTCAATTGGAGTAGTGCAGAAATCCATTTTTAGTAGAAGCAATAAAGAAAAGGGTGGGTTATTTAGATTAGGGTTAGATACAGTAAACTATTTGGAAACTCAATAAATCAATTCTCGGTCACCAAATAAAACAAAATAATTTTTTTTTTAGAAAAAAAAGGGTTAATAATTAGGCATTAAAAGAATGGTGAAGAAGAAAGAGAGAAAAAAAAAAGAAAACGAAAAAATCTTTTTTTGTATATATAAGATCCAAGAAAATTGAGATTCAATTCAACAAGATGGAGTTTCTTTTTATTGGTGTTACTCATTTTTTCTTGAATTAGGTTTTGTGGAAATCAAAACATAAAATTCGTTTCTCCATGCCTTTAAACGATAAAAAATCAAATTCACCTGGAGAAGATCTCTAAAGACATTTCTAAGCCTGACATGTATCCGCAACATTAAAAAGTAAACAAACCAGTGTTTTCTATAGCATTCAGAAACTAAAGTATTCCGATCTTTCCGTGAATAGCCGACTTTTTTTTGGGTTCACACCTTTCGCAGTCTATTTTTTTTTTCTTGATCGATGAGCACTATGGACAATAATACAATTCTCTATTTTTATAGTTGCCTATGGGTTCATTAACTAAGAAATACAATGAATGATATGAACAACTTATACATACACGTGCAAACTTGTAATAAATTGAACTCATGTGAATGTTACGTACCGCTAATAATTTTATTATTGTTTGGAAAACCTTAATTCTTTTTCCGGTAAAAACTTTAAAGATTAGCCATTGTACGTTGTGTAACATTTTTGCTTGTTTTATTTTGTGCCTTGTCCTGTCAATGCAATGTGTGATATTTTTATTAAAACAGCCACTGCCATTTCTTGTAACTTGTCTTCAGAATGGTTCTCAATGATGGCTATTTTTATAAATAACTTTCTTTCTTTTTCTCTCTTTTTTTCTTTCTTCTTACCTTCTAACCATGCTTTTGTTTCTACCAGTTCTTTTGCATAATCAGTAAACAATAGTGATTCTTGTCCTTTATATGAGATATTGATAATGGTCTCAATACCAAGTAAAAGCGCTTTTTTAACTCCAAATGAAAGATTGACTGCATATCGCATAGATAATGCAAATTCAAAGTATTCTTTGACAATTCTTCTCTTGTCCAGTGTATTTGCTTTTAAAGTGAGCATGTATAGAAAAGGATTTCGACTTACTTGAGCTATGTAGAATGATATTTAAAGTCATGATAAACCTTTCAGTCAATACCGGGTTACTGCCCATCCAATAAGCCAAATAACCTTGAGATCCTTCCCACCACCCAACTAAAAGTGGAAAGAAAAAAACTGGCCCGGCCAATCCAGATAATCTGTTTTTTTGAATTTTGTGCTGATTGCGCTTTTCAATTTCCATTCTTTTTGATAAAAATGTTTGTTTGCCATTAATTGGCTGTTGATCATGAGATGTGAGGGACAGTCTTGCTGTTTCTTGTTCGATTGTGTTCTATGAATATGAGCAGAATGAAATGGACACTCACATTACCTTAGTGGTGTTGTTGTCTGTCCAGCCAGCTAATTCGCGTACTGCTAAAGAGATAGCCCCTAATATCATTTGTTTCTGGCCAGTAGATGTGTTTCGATCATAAATTTGATCTATAATGAACCTACCAAACTGTAAATCGACATGTATTGTAACTTGATATCTTACTCTGTCACAGTTTCAGGTACACCAACCATGAGAGCTGTCAGCGCATTTTGCTGTAACTTGCGGAAATCATGTATTTCATATGTCTCGGGAAATCCTATAAGGTACTTTGCTAATGTGATAGATGATTCGCCTATATAGAGGGGGGAGGGAGACTTAATATAAAGTTTTACTATTATCCAAGGTTTTACTTAATTCTGTTCCGGCCCCAATTTTTCGGCGTATCACTTGTTCCGAGGCGGTTAATCCGGCTTCCAGTTTTAAGGGGTCATTCTTGTCTTGCAAATAGCGAATCAAATCCCGTACAAACCTAATCATTTTTGGTTATGTAATTTTCTTTGTCTTGCCGTTCTTACACTGGCTTTTTGGTTGATTTTAAAGTGCTTTCTTTTCTTAGTCCTTCATCTTCTGATTCTTCTTCCATATAGTATGGCTCAAATTCCTCGTCTTCATCTTCGTCGTTTTCATCTTTGTCTTTGTTAGCATACTATGGAATCCAAATACACAATTACCTTCTTCTAAAATTACATCAGCGTCGGGATCAAGTTCGTCCTTTTCTTCTAGTTCCGATTCTGACTCAGAATCTAATGCTGTGCTACTGGCAACAGGCTCTTGATCATCAAAAGCATCTGTAACAAACACAAGACCCTTTAATTCGCGCAAATGATCATTGTCATCAAGTAATCCCGTATTCAGAGGCTTTTCTGTGTCCAGCTTACTTGAAATGGCTTCCGCTACTACCTAAAACAAAACATCAATATCTTATCAACAATAGACATGACATACAGCCCCAAGTTGTGCAGTTTGAATGTCACCACTATTAAACCAAGTTGAGACACTATGAAACAGGGAGGTTTCGACCATCGTTGTTTGTTTAAGCTCATGATGAGGCAAATAAGCGACAAAGGATAATAGGACAGTTGTCATAACTAGTTAGAGTAAATCACCATGATGTAATCAGCAAACACTTACATGAACGTTCTCGAAAACTTGCATGTTTGATAAAGACTGGATCTGACCAAGTCTGGATGACTCGCTTCAAGAAATGAATTAGAAATAAAAGTGTCTTGGTAGATAATTGCTTTTCTTCTTTTGCTAAGCTAGTGTCTTCCAAAGCATAAATAACGGTACAGACACTTATTCTGGCCATAGTTTTATCTGCCCAACTACACTTGGATAGTTTGAAAACTGCTGTGTTTAGAAAAGACTGTAGACGCTGTTCTTTCCTTTTTGATTCATGCTGAAACAAGAGCTGAGCTAATTGTTGAGACGCTGTGTTTATCATAGGCATGTGGTCATGAGCGTAGTGCAAGATTGACTTGGTCATTTGTTCTGGTGGTGCAATAAGCTCCGCTTGTTCAAACACGACAGACCAATGATCCGGTTTAGATTGAATGATCGTGTAAATAGCAATATCTTTTTTGATGAGACATAGACTTTGTTTCTTATGCTTACCTTCATAGCCTTGTCTTGTTATTTTTCCAAGTAACTCCTGTGTAAATGGAATGGTTTCTTTTGTTAAATGCTTAGCCATGCGAGAACTTAATTTCGCATAAAAGTTTCTGTTTTCTTTTTTTAATTATGGTTTTTTTTTTGGTCAAATTTACCTATCCATATACCATTCATGTTCAACATGAAATCGAACTTGATTAAACTGGATAGCAAAGGCATTAGCCAAATGACCTGGAATAGAGCATAATAAAGAACAAAAGAATCGAATATCGCTTAAATTGATATATTTTCCATACAGAGGAAACAGTTGAGAAGAAAGAGACAATAGCTTGAGAAGTGCTGCATACATCTCTAATGTGTCTAGAGAAGCATTTTCTTGTGTTGAAAGACATTCAAGCACAATAGGCAAACTGACTCGAGCCATGATGGCTTTTATTTTATCTTGCGAACATGCATGTGTGGCTTCCAATAAATGTCGATGTGTAGGTGATCTCAGGGCAAATGTCCATTGAGGCACCAAGTTTTTGAGTACGTGCCAGACATGCTTTTTCCAAGAAGGGTGTTGAACAAGTGCCAGTTGCTGTGGTAATGAGATCGCTAATAGAGATTCATTGTAACCTAACCACTCAAGGGGTTTTGATAAGCAGAGTAGTACTGTGTCTAGTTGAGCGTTAGGTGCTATGGCTTGTTGATCTAGATCTGCGATCTGATCCACATAAGCTTCAATACTCGTCATGTTGCGTATGTAGACAAGAGTGTAATGACTGGCTTTTTTTTTTTTTTTGAAAGTTTGTAAGCTCGAAAAAAAAAACTGAAATTTTAGCACAGCTAACAAAATCCATTTGACTTGAGCTATAGTATCTTTAGATTTATTTACGATAAAGACCTTTGCTATTCAGTATATGATCTTATGATGATGAAAGAGAACAAACACTGAGTATTTGAGTCCAAGAAAAAATCCGGTCATTTTACTTCGATTAAGTATCAATGTATTGACTCAAGAATTGCATAAAAGGGAATGCTGCTTATTCTTTTCCTTTGTAAAGAAACTTTTGTCACGCTAGAGAGATTCACTGTTCAATGACTTGTATAGCATTACTTGAAGAATATATGAATATGATCAATCAGACCTTCCAAACAGGGTGGAATAGTATCTAAAACACCTTAAAAGCTCTTCTAATGTAGCTTTTTCGGGTTTTTCATATCAAAGTATACATAAGGGAATGTTTTCATGCAAAAACTGACAGTTTTTGAAATGACACATTTTTTCGTATTTTGCCCTTATAGATTACCCAATAGATTTTTCAGTTTTTCTGAAATTCGCGATTTACGAGCGATACAGTAACATTCTACTAATGCATGTATTGGTATAAAATGATCCTCTGAGATCAAGCAGTACACAGAAACTGTTGTATTCTCAAATGTGCTATAAAAAGTGTATGCTAGGGCTCAAAAACATGAAAAACGTTTATGAAGGCTAGCTCAAAATTTTGTCAGCAAGTATACAATTTTTCCTGCATCAATAAATTCTTCGTGTATAATTGTACAAAAATTGTCACCAGAGTCTTTTTTTTTAAGTTGTGTTTATTGATTGAGCCGCGTACACTAAGAGTAATGGTCAAAGTGAAGAGGTGGGTGCAATTGAGATAATGCTAAGAACTGATATAAAATATAATAACTAAATAAAAATACGATGAAAGAAAACAAGAATTTAAAGTAAAATAAACAATGTAGAGGTTATAGGAGTGAATGGTATTGATCCTCTTCAATAGTCTGACGAACATTGGATTGGATGCTTGCCAGATAATTTGTTGAAAATGGCAAAACTCGAGAAGAATGAAGACGTTGATATAATGTAAAGTCCGATATTCCGCTGATTTGAACAGTTTTGAAATGAAATAGAACATCTTGACACAAAATATGCAAAGCATGTGTTTCTACTATGAGAGTACACAAATAAGGCTACATGTAGCTATGATGTATTCATTTCATTGATCGAAACAAAGGGAAATTGAACAATACGTTTTAACTTTCATTTATTTTCGATGAGAGCAATGATAGAGCAAGAGTACTAAAAATATACATGCCTGTTGGTTGTTTCATCATAAATATATTGACTGAAGCTATCATCATATCTTCCCTTTTTCTTTGTGTTTTTAGGTGTAGTTTCCAATGAAAACTACTCTTATGACTTATTGAAGAAGGATTTTATAACACACAATATTTGTTGCTTTATGCATGAATACTTGTGTCATTATAAATACTTATACTCAATTGCGTTTATATTCTGGACTTGTTTAGGTTTAGGAAGCCCTTATCTTATTCCATAGCAGTGAACTATAATTGAAGTAGTGAGAACTATCTTGCAGCTAAGTCTCAACACAAATTTTGGTTATTATCATCTTTTGTTATCATACAATGGTAAGTAGAGCTGAGACAAAGCTACAAGACGCATAATGATGGCAACTTTGGCACTAAAATAAAGGTATATCTCAGACCTGTGTCTACTATTTCCAGAAACTTCAACATCCCAAACAATTGGTCAGAAGGCAGGGAACAACACAATACAGAAACATGAAAGATGCTTTTAGTTTGTTATAATCTCGAATGTCCCTCAGTCAAGCATGGTCGTAATATAAATGGAAGGGATAAGGTATCTAGCTTTAGCCATTGCTATAGCCAATTTGCTCTTTCATGAAACCCTTCCTGCTTTCTTCTCAAGCGTCAGTCACTCCAATACTGAATCAAATTTGAAAATAGCAGGCTTTTGTACAAGAAACGGTGTATCGGTCAAGAGTTTCGTATCTTTTTAAATAGGTATTTTATTAACATTCTTGAAGCTTCTGCTGTTAGTTTGCAGCCTTTAGCAGTAAAATGCTCATTCTTAAGGTCAATGGTCCTCCTTCGTACTTCGAGACTAATAAATTGGCCACTAATAGATCTATCAGATGCTAAAAGAAGGTTGGCTGGTATGCGAAACAGTTAATTCGAACTTTATACAAGCTATTTGAATAAAGAGACAAGCTCTATCATACTTGATTTGCTTATTATAGACCTTACAGTTATTCTAAAACTTACAGCGTATTATGGCACCTTGACTTCTTTCATTTGCACTGCTAGTATTCAGGCACCTGTGAATTAAAATTCATTGGCTAAGCGGGCACTTAAAATTAATAACATGTGAGTCCCATTTCTTTTTTACAGCATTTCTTCCTCTGATTTCTTTATGATTACTATTTTACCTTCCAAAGTAAAACTACTTCATTTTCCAAGATCTCATTTGCGACATGTCACACATGCAATTGTCAAATCTTGTTTATTTGAAGACATAAATAAGCAAGTAATTTTATATGCTTTCCTATTTTTTTTAACTATTCTCTAGTTCTCAATATTTCTTTTCTTTTACAGAGAATGCGTATGAAATCTCTATTGTAGCAAGCAGAGATATAATTGATAATGACTTTATACCTCTATTGACAATGGCTCAATGCCATGATATGTGTGCTTCAAGTGATATGTACCGTGTGTTACAAGTAGATGATGAGGGTGGACAAGGTATAAGCTTTTTTTTTTTTTTTTTTTTTTTTATAGTCTTATCTTTCGGGGCTTTATTTGATTCATAGATTCAAGCGGTAAACGTATCAGTGATTTATCATGTCCATTGACTCAGGGCAAATTCTCTATTTTTTACATGTCAACATACCAAACTGATTTTGTGTTGGTAAGAAAAGTGTGTCATTCAAGTATATGTTAACTCTTTTGTCTTAGATCAAAGACCGAAGATTAAGGCAGGCAGTTCAATTATTGCAGCAACACCAATTTGAGTTTGATCAAGATTCAGTAGATCAATATCTGGGTGGTTCTCCACCTATTCAACAGGATAACAGACTCTCAATGGCAAGTGACACATCTGTTTTCCTTGAAGAGGACTTTGAAAAATCCGTGTTATCGGATGAGCTTCAATGTGTTGGTTTAAACCCTCATTATCATTCTGATTGGTCGATAACTATCCTCAAGATACTATCTTATCCAGAACTGATAGCAACTGAGAACAAGTAAATACAACATGATAATACTTGGTGACACATTGACCATTTTTCTTCTAGTTCAAATGATACTCGGTTCTTTTCTTACACAGCTACAAGTGATGGTATCTCTTTAATTGCGAACCAAACCATCTTGAGCTTGTTTGATCAGGATGCTATTTTTCAGGATGAAGAAACACAAACTTTTCGTGTCATACAAGTCAATTTAGCTGGATCTAATCTGGACAGATGCGGTATTGTTTGGTCCATCTCCCACCCTCTCGCCACGGAGGCTTCTATAAATCTGCTGTATCTAAGTACTTTTAAGAGTGCAAATGTATTGGTGAGTTTTGTATTGGTCATCATGCGAATTAATACTTTATACTAGGTCGCTTCTGATGATTTAAGCAAAGCTGAAGAAATTCTTGCAGAGGATCTTGAGAAAGCCAAGGGGTTTCTTGCTGAAGTAGTCTTGGAACCTACCGTCTAACATATAATAAAAAAAAAATCGCATAGTCTTCAATCAAATTCTTTATTTGCATATTTGATCAAATTCTTGATGCTCTATTCCTTACTTCCTCTTTTTCTCTTTAGACCATGACTTCGTCTGTAATCACTGCCACAACAACATTGATAGCATCAGAATTTGATTCGTTTGTTAATGCTCCTACGGTTGTCGTGCCTGAAGACCCACAAGAAGAGCAAGAACAACCAAATCGATACCTTGGCGCTTTTTACAAATTCAAACAAGAAAAATTAGCCAACATTAGACCCGTATCCGACTTTTTTGATAGAAATCGATTCAGGCCCACAACTTCATTTCCAGTTGTAACGCAGAGATGGAAGTAAGAGACTGATAGGTCTGTGTCATGAGCTTAAAACGTTGTATAGCTACAATTTACAGTACTTTTCATCCAACTATGTACTAGTCATGATTTGCTTAGCCATGTACGCTGTGTAAGTCAAACACTGACCAATCAAGCCTGCTTAGCAAACATTTTATACAGGCTGACCAACTGGTTCTTGTTATTTACAATTGTATTCATTTATGGTGGAATTCACATGATTTCAAAGCTGAGTGAGTCAGGTTCTATTGCCAGTATTCCAATCTCTATGCCCAAGTTATATACAGGTTATGCAATAGGCTCACTTTTGCTCCTTTTTATCTCAGGAGCCACTAGCACTATCTTTTGGATTATTGGTAACGTATTTATGTGACTGTAAAGATGAGCTTAACATGTTATATAGGTGCAGGTGTTTTAATCATATTGTGTCACGCAACCATGTTAGAACCCGGGCTTGAAGGCGATTTTGCTGACAATCAAGTATAAGTTAAAATAAAAGCAAGGATCAAATTGAATGGAATGTATCATGGACAAATAAAAATCGGTTTTTATAATCATCGAAGCAAGTATAGTGCTTAGCCAATGACAGACCCGCAGTTTAGTTTTAACTTCCATAAATTATGTATATTATAAAAGGAAGAAAGGTCTTTTTGTTCAGTTTAGCCATATTTGTGCCCATCCAACATGAATGAATTGACTCCCCCAGCCACCATTGACAGTACTACGTCGTCATTGTTGCAACATCGACGTGCTACAAATATAAACCAGCAACGACTTCCTTTTGTTCATCGCTTCTCTTCTTCCAGACGCCATCGCAGTCCAATGACATCTCCATCAGAAACACTTGTTCCAGAAACAGCAGAATTAGTCCTCAAGGTTCATATCATTCAAGCACGCAGTTTGAGCCGAGAAGAAGAGGTAAAAGCGAGTTGCTATGGAACATATTAATCATCATTGTAGTTTAATGCTCCGAGTCCTTTTGTCGACGTCTGTTTTGGTGGCATAAGACACAGAACAGATACTATCAAGAAGTCCTCGGACCCAGCTTGGGATTGTTCGTTTGAATTCAATCTTTCGAGTGATATTCTCGGGCATAAGAAGCGAATGCGTGCATTAAAGCGCCACGGCTTGACTTTTAATGTGTATAGCAAAGACAGGTTTACTTGTATCTTTTTAGGCCGAGTGAATTGGCCACTTGATCAACTGTTTGAACCAAACCAGACTGCGTTTGAAGAGAATGAAGTAAAGTAATATGATCGTGTAACATAAATTAAATTCAATAGGCTAAATGGTATTCATTGTCATCACACATTCGTCGACGTAAACGGTTTCATTTAAAAAAGAAGCGCCAAGATATCATGGCTGAGACAGAGCAAGGCGAGATCTATTTACAGTATGGCCTAGAATACAAAACAGACAAGGGTACTGCTCACACAGATACGATGTGGGAAGAATGGCAATCTCTATTGGACGACAAGGAAAATGAATCCGCTGAAGCAGAAATTGATGCAACCGATTTATCTGTACCTGAAATGAGAACAAGCTCAAGCACTACATCCTTTAGTCAACGCTTAAAAAATCCATTGAAAAAGGACAATTCCAGTTCTTCTGTTAACAGCCTTGTGCCTCAATCAGAAAAAAGAAGAGGCAGAAGAAGAAAGCTTAGAAGTAAATTTAGCCGAAAGCGCCCCAACAAAAGCAATAACAACTATGCAAAGTTCTTCTCTAATGTAACAGGTATTACGTTTTTAGAGATCGAAAGTGCACAAGATTTGCCGCCTGAACGTAATGTCACACGCACAGGATTTGATATGGACCCATTTGTGATTGTAACCTATGGTGTCTGTACGTTTCGCACACGCGCTATTCGTCATAATTTGAACCCTGTCTGGAATGAAAAGCTCTTTTTCCATGTCAAGAGTACGCAAGAGAATTACAAGCTCAAGTTTGCGGTGTATGATAAAGACAAGTTTTCTAGCAATGATTTTGTAGCATCTCAAGAAATCATATTGGCAGACATCTTGAGCAAGACACAACAAGATGTCGATTCATCTCAGGTGCAAGGTGATCACACACCATTTGATGAAATTGATCGAAGCATGGGAAGATGCACTATTCCTCTTACTCTGGCCAAGCCTGATAAATGGACAAATCAACCTACCTTAACATTTCGCGCTAAATTTGTGCCTTATGTTGAAATCAGAAAAATGTTCTGGGTTGCTTTAGCAAGAACGTGCGACTCTGACAACTCAAATACGATGAGTCGACTTGAAGTACAAACCATGCTTGAAACACTGGGCTCTAATATCTCTGAGGCCACTCTAGACAAGATCTGGAAAGAAAATGGTAAAGATCCTTCAGAAGACTTAACAATGGATGAACTAGTGAAAAGCCTCGAATCTTTTATGCTTAATTTGGATACAGAAGAAGGCAATATTGATCCTAATACTATTGTTGAGACAGAGAAGGATGTACCTGTTGATATGAGCCAAAGCAAGACATCCAATCCTTTCTTTTTAAATGGTTCAGATGATGAAGAAGAAGAAACAAGTGATGCTTATGATGAATCTGCTATAAGTGATAGTAATAGTAGTAGCGACGTCGAATACGATAGTTATGGTGAATATGATGATACCTATGATACCAATACTACTACACCTCAAACCCCTGATGAAGCAGACTATGAAGCTTTGGCTGAAGCAGATGGTATTCAATATGTTGAAGGCCCTTTGCACTCTTTAAAACTTCAACAAAGACATGAAGCTGAACATGACCTAGAAGCAGAAGACCAAGATGACAAGCCTACTCAAGAAAAAGTTATTCGACTAAAAGAATGTCCTATTTGTCACAAACCAAACTTATCCAAGCGTATGCAGATGGATATTGTAACGCATGTTGCCACTTGTGCTGCTAATGATTGGACTACAGTGGATCGCTTCCTTATGGGTAACTTTGGTACTGAGGCCCAAGCGCAAAGAAGATGGTTTGTTAAGCTTGTAAGCAAAGTAAGCTATGGAAAGTATTCAGCAGGACAGGTAAGAACCATAACTACTCTTCCGTTTTTGTAATAGACGATAGAATAATGCCAATATCATTGTTCAAGACCGTTCTACAGGCCAATTGATTGATGAACGCATGAGTGTTTATATTCGATTAGGCATGCGACTCTTGTACAAAGGCATGAAGACTGGTATCCAATCAAAGACAGGTAGATAATCCCCTAACATGGACAGAACCATACATGCTAATAATCATTAGCTCAACGAATCCTAACTAATATGACTATCAAGCAAGGCCGTCGTTTTGATCACCCTCTTTCTAAGCGAGAAATTGGTCCCTTTATTAAGTTCCATAAACTCGACATGAGTCAAGTCTTGGAACCTGTTGAAAGCTTCGAGACGTTCAATGAGTTCTTTTACCGCAAACTTAAGCCTGATGCTCGTCCTTGTGATGCAAAAGACAATAAGCGAGTCGTTGTAAGTCCTGCTGATTGTCGTATGTTAGCTTTCCCTACAGTGGATGATGCTACTCGTATTTGGATCAAGGGTATTGAATTCAGTCTATCCAAGTTACTTGATGATCCACACGAAGCTCAAGCATTTGATGGAGGAGCCTTGGCTATTTTCCGACTCGCACCACAAGACTACCATCGATATCACTCACCTGTAGACGGTACCATTCGTAAAATACATCATGTTGAAGGACAATACTACACTGTAAATCCTATGGCTATCCGAACCACATTGGATGTCTATGGTGACAATAAGCGAGATGTAGTCTATATGGACACAGAGGTATTTGGCAAAGTAGCCATTGTCTGTATTGGTGCCATGATGGTGGGCTCTATTATCTTGACAGCCAAGGAAGGTGATTATTTAGGAAGAACAGATGAACTAGGTTACTTTGCCTTTGGCGGAAGCACGCTTGTTGTGCTATTCGAAAAGAATGCAATCCGATTTGATGAAGACTTGATTGAGAATGCCAACAATTCATTAGAAACTTTGGTATGTGTACTATATAAGTCTTTATATGCTAATAACTATGTCTCTAGGTTCGTGTTGGTAATCATATTGGTATACGTCCTTGATTGATTTGTTTATTAATTTGTACAATAATATTTAATGTATATTTACAGCTAATACCACCCTTTGCCCTTACTGACTACTTGGACACTTTGTCTTGTAGGGATCATCGCTTCAGTGATAGAATAAGCGTCAATGATATCTTGGAAATCTTTCATATCAATGCCCATAATAATTTGCTTTTTGCTAATTACATCTTCTAAAGATTCAACATTGGGAACTTCCCTTAATCCGAGCATAGGTTGTCCATCTGAGTCATCAATGCCCACTACGCCTTTTCTTGCCAAGAATGAGACATAAAAGATATTTTCGACTGTTTGAGAGAATGAGGTTGGATTTACAACAAACTTGAAATAATTCACAGGCTGCACTTCTGACAAGATTTTGTAAATGGTATTGACATTTTGAGAGGTTTCGTTTTCTTGTTTTTGAATATCACCTTGCTTCAGTTGTGTAGGAGTCACCAAATCTGCCTTGTTTCTTACAAAATTGTTTGCTCTGGCTCTCTTGATTTGTTTGTGTTCCACATCCAAAGGACCCAACAAGAATTCCATTGTATGTGCCTTTCTACCAAAACTACTTGCAATCTTGCCCAAGTGCTCCCAATCTAAACAAACACCTTCATTGTGCTTGGTACCATTTGTTGATTCTGTAATCATTTTGGCAACCAATTCATCTAAATTGACTTCATTTTCTTGACCAATATCAAGGCTTTTTGTTTTTTGGCTATTAATTTCCGCAGTAATTGACATGAGTTTAGAATCCAAGACAGCTTCCTGTGTATTCTTGACTGTGTAGCATGGTGAATATATGATATATAATTGTTCTAGCTTACCATTCTCAAATAAAACATTGGATTTACTAATAAAGCGATAAAGTTTATCCCCTTTATCTTGGGCAATCAAATCACGCCTACTTTCTGCAAGTATATATTAGTACAAAGATAGTCAAGGGAAGCATACCTAGTACAGAGGCTGTCAATTTTCTATATTTTATACGCAAGTCACGACGCTCTTCTTCACTTTGATCTGGATCATATTGGTTTTTGTCTATTTGTGAGCTGATAACAGTATTCACCTCTCGTATGCCTGGGTCTTGACTTTGTCTCATAGTACAAAGAAAGAAAAAAAAAAGAGAGAGAGAAATAAAACTAAGCTACATAAGCAATTGACGAAAATGGTCACAAACAACGCGTTTGTTTATCAACAAAAAAAAGAACGCGTTTTACATGAGTGTAAATTCAAATGTATGCTATAGGCCTAATTATTTCTTATATACGCGTTTATGGACAGCGAACACTTTTACAATAAAAGTTGTGAATCACGCTCAAATAGTAGAATTGATTAATGAAAAAAAAGTTTTTTTATTGTTCTACAACCAATCAACTGGTTGCGCTTGAAAAATTTAAATGATGAACCACTCCTATTTTCCTTTTTTCTCTCTTTTTTCTTCTTTATAAAAGAAACTTTCTTTTAGTCTATCCACTTCTTATATTATTGTCCAAGAACGAATTTTTTCATTTAAAAATGGCTACTACTAACATGAACTTTGGTCCCGAATGGTATAGTAAAGAGAACATCATAATTTACTTATAATAAATAGGATGCGCGGTGCTTTATCTAAGCACAATGGCTCTTCTGAATTCTTGGATTCTTTACCTTTTGAACAACAATCAGATAATCCTTTTAAATATTCTAAGGAGTTTATGCTTGGTTTATATAAGCCTACCCTTCAGCTTCCTTCTGACTTTCAGCAACATGAATATGCAACGAGTCAAGAACCCATTGTTCCTTTAGCTTTCGAAGAATTAACAGAGACTGAAAAAAAGGCAAGTATATTATCCAAACCAGACATTGCATACTCATACAATACACTCTAGCTCCTTTCTGGTCCTGTTCACTCGGAAGCCTCACAACGTCGTGGGGACAAAGCAAGACACCGTAGCGACTTATACGGCAACAGTCCTCTGCAAAGTCCTGCTAACGAAAATGGCCCTGCTGGTAATCGCTTAGGCGGACGTAAAGGTAAACAATGGCTTTATTAGAGACAAAAAAAAAGAGAAAATAATAACCTTGGGTTAGCTCGTACGGATTATTTTGCAAGAGATCAACCTCTGAAGCAACGCAATGAAAATGGTAAGAGAAAAAAAACCAGACTAAGCGCTACGTCACTTGTGAACTAAACCAAAGTGTTTGTGATAGACTTGTTTAAGAGACGCGATCAGCACGATGACTCAACTTTAGAAGGAAGTGCTTCTTGGGCCAACAAGGAAGCCACTTTTGGTAACGGAGGTTTGTTTAATGAGAACAAGCTTGAGTCTATGACTTTCAAGTCGGATAGTTTATTTGGGCAATCGTCTGCTAATCGAAAACCCGAGGAAGTCAAGTGGTTTTATCGTGATCCTTCAGGACAAGTGCAAGGCCCCTTTGAAGCGCAAGAGATGCAAGACTGGTACAAGGCAGGCTTTTTTACCCCCACGCTCATGTTGCGCCGTGACGACGAAACGGTGTTTGAACCTCTCATGGTGCTCACACAAAAGGTGGGCAGTGAGGATAAACCATTTTTGATGCCTCGCCGTGCTTCGCCACCCAGTCATTTGTTTCTCCGAAATGACAATAACAACAACAGTAACAAGTACATGCCGTTTTCAAATAACATGCCTGCATCACCTGGTGGCAGCATCATTGACAGTTTTTTAGGAGCAACCAATGCACCTTCAACACCTCTCTACCAACCTTACGGTGGTTACGGTAACTCATTATTGCGTGATACTCGATGGAATTCAACAGATCCACAGTCCCCTGCTGCTGCTGCTGCTGCTGCATCTCCCTCTTGGCTTAACTCTAGTACATCTGATTTCTTTGGTAACCCTACCTCTGTAACCAGTCCTTTAGCTTCTCATTTCAGCCATCATCAACAGCCTACCATGAACCCAATGTTTGGTGGTGCCTCATCAGCTGGTTTATTTGATTATGGTCGCACAAACAATGACATTTTAGAGCAACAACAATACAATTATATGATGCAACAAAAACAACAACAACAACAACAACAACAACAGCAACAGCAACAGCAACAACAACAACAACAACAACAACAGCAACAACAACAACAACAACAACAACAGCAAATGTCATTTCAACAAACATTTAGCCCACCTCAACAACAGCAACAACCTTCTACTCAAATGCCAGAGACTCTTCAGCATTCTGTCTTGGAAAATGTAGCTCAAATTAATACTTCTAGCATTATTGGCAGCAATCACGCTTCACCTGTCATGCGTTCCAGTGTTTTGAGTGGCTGGGGATCTGCTCCCGGTACACCTATTGGCACTGATGCCCCTGCTAGTCCATGGGGTTCTATTGTATCAACTGCTATTCCTACAAAGGTCTCTGAAGAACTACAAGCAAAAGCTCCAGGTGCACAATCTCCTAGAGCCCCTTCATCACCTAAAAAGGCTGTTGAAAAGCCTGTCAGAGCTTCTCCAGCACCCGCTATACCCGCCTCTCTTCCTCAACCTGCTTTTTCACCTTCTCCTCCTACTCAGTCTGCTACACCTGCCAAATCACTTGTTCGATCCTTTGCTGAAATTCAATTAGAAGAACAACAAAAGGCTGCTGCTGCTAAAGCCCAAGCTGCTGAAGCCAAGGCACAAGCCGAAGCTAAAACCAAAGAAGAAAAAAATGCTCGTCTTGCTGAAGAAAAGGCTGCTTCAAAGCAAACCGTTCCTACTCCTATTGTCAACAAGCCCGTTGTCTCTTTGCGCGAAATCCAAGAAGAAGAACTTCGATTGGCCAATGAAAAGAAAGCCAAACAAGCCAAGGCTGCACCAATGACTGCAACAACACCTAGTTGGGCTGTTTCTAACAGCACTCCCTTAAGTAGCACTTCTAGTTCTACTTGGGTACAACCTGCACACAAGCCTTTGTCTTTGAGAGAAATCCAAGAAATGGAAGAGAAGGAATCTAGTAAGAAAGCATCTGCTGCTGCTCATTTGGCCAAACAAGAAGCATTAGCAAACGCCACACCTAGCACTTTGTCTTGGGGTGTTGTTGTTCCCAACAACAAGTCACCTGCCTCACCTGCTGTTAGTGCTTCTCAATCTACTTCCATGACGTCTTCTACCGGCGCAAATGCTGCTCCTTGGGCTGCTCCAAGTGGTCCTAAGAAGACATTAAGAGAGATACAACAAGAAGAAGAATTGGCTATGAAGAAGAAAAATGCCAAGGCAACCAAATCTGCTGCCGCTGCCGCTGCCGCTGCTGCTGCTAATGCCACCACAACCTCCAGTTCTACTTCCGCCAAAACATTCCCTGTTTCTTCTACTACTCCTGAGGATGGTTGGACTACTGTTACTAATGTCCGTATACCTAAGCCCACTCCTTCACCTGCTCCTGTAGCTGCTCCCGCATCTCCCCAACCTGTTCAATGGACACCTGTCAAGAAGCCCGTTGCTCCTTCTAAGCCCAGTGGTCCTAGTGAAGATTTCCGTCGTTGGTGTCGTAAAGCCTTGCGTGATTTGAATTCAGGCGTCAATCAAGACGAGATTATTGACATGTTGATTTCTTTCCCTGCAGACGCCAATTCTGCTGAAATTATTGAAGATGTTATTTATGCCAATTCATTGCGTATCGATGGTAAACGATTTGCACAAGAATTCATGAAGCGCAGAAAAGCTGATGTAGCTGGACGTTTGGATATTGTCACTGCTGGTCTTGAGGAAGATGATGATGATGACTTCAAGGTGGTCCAAAAAAAAGGTAGAAAAAACAAATAAATGTGCTCCTTATTATTTGGATAAACAATCTTCCTTATTTAAATAAATTATTTTTTTTTCTTTTCTTCTCCCTCTCTCTCTCTCTCTCTTTCTCTTCATCTCATGAACTTCAATATATTCAAAACCAAACAAAAAACACCACACGACCTTGTTAAACATGTTAAGGATGCTATCCATAAACTAGACGGGCCTGATAAACGCAAAGTAAAGAGTAATAAGCACACGTATCTTTTAGAGTTATTCATATTATATAATAGGCAACAGAAGAAATTTCAAAATATTTGGTTTTAATGAAAAACATATTGTATGGAGAGGAAGGTGCGTATTGAGCACATATATAGTTGTATAAATAGCTCGATTCTCTTGTTTGTAGACCACGAGCCTAGTCCTGACCTTGTGGCGCAACTGGCACAAGAAGTATATAGAACAGACCTATTACAATTACTCGTGTTGAATATTCAAAAGTTCGAATTTGAGGTAGCAGCAATAATAGGAGTGATATGGATAATGTTATTGAGCAGCTTTTGTAGGCAAAGAAAGATGTAGCACAGATATTCAACAATCTCTTGAGGAGACAAATTGGCTCACGCTGGCCAACCGTAGAACATTTATGTGCTCGTGAAGACATTCTTTTCAATTTGCTAAACGGGTAGAGCAAGCAATGCACGCGTCTATACGAATTCTTATTTTTCTATAGCTATGAGCAACCTGAGGTTGCCTTGAATTGCGGTTTGATTTTACGTGAATGTATCCGTCATGAAGCTTTGGCCAAAATTATTTTGTATTCCCCCAAGTTTTACCAGTTCTTTGATTATGTGGAAATGAGTACATTTGATATTGCTTCCGACGCTTTTGCTTCATTTAAGGAAATTCTTACAAAACACAAGCCCATGGTAGCTGACTTTTTGGAATTAAATTATGACGAGGTAAAGTTATGAAAGAGGGGAGGAAGGGAGGGGGAAGAGAGATAAGCTCATTATTACTTGCTAGTTTTTCGATCATTACAAGCGATTATTACAGTCAGAGAATTATGTTACCAAGAGACAATCTTTAAAGGTAAAGTAAATGGCATGGTGTAAAAAAAAAAAAAAAAAAAGATGTATGTGCGTATGAATTAAAGCTATCTTAGCTACTGGGCGAAATTTTGCTGGACAGATCCAACTTTACTGTGATGACTCGTTACATTAGTAGTGCAGAAAACTTGAAACTGATGATGAATTTGCTTCGGGATAAAAGCAGAAATATCCAGTTTGAAGCATTCCATGTCTTCAAGGTCTTTGTTGCCAATCCACATAAAACTCGACCTATTGTTGACATATTAGTGAAAAATCAAGAAAAACTTATTCACTTTCTCGGCAACTTCCACAATGATAGACAAGGTAAATCGGGTTTATTTTTTGAGGTTTGCTTACATGTTTCCATATATAGATGATGAACAATTCAATGATGAAAAGGCTTTTCTCATCAAGCAAATTCAAGAATTACAGCCTTTGCAGGATTAAAATTAAATAAAGCCTTTGTGTTGTTTCTTTATATTTTATTATTAGTGAAAGTAGAGTACAGAAAAAGTGAGAGAGGCAGAGTGAGAGAAATAACTACATGCTGGCTTTGGCAAGTCCAACAAGAGCCTTTGCTTTAGCAGGAAGTTCAGGGTTATAGATCAAATTGTTAAGAGCCTTCACAAACTCCCAACCGTTAGCAATACTTTTGATGGGATAATCCAAGATAGGGGGAATAGGTGTTTTTACGCCAGGAATACGATCAGTAGTAATGGCCTTGGGGACACAAAGGCCGCGAAGACCTTCAATACCGCTAAATCTGCCATAACCAGAGATACCAACACCACCAAAAGGCAAGCCTTGACAGAGATAGTTGACAGCAAAATCGTTTACGTTAGCCATACCAACCTTCAAACGGAAGCACATCTTTTCAGCAAGTTCCTTGTTAGCAGAAAAGACAGAAGATCCAAGACCAAAAGGACATTGGTTAGCAACACGAATGGCATCTTCAGAGCCTCTGTGCTTCATGATAACCATGATAGGTGCAAAGGCTTCGTTATTAGCAATAGCCATGTCAGGAGTTACATCCACTAATAAAGTGGGTTCAAAGTATTGACCGTGTTTGTGAACAGGGTGTTGGAACCGCTTACCGCCGCGTAAAAGACGAGCACCATGACGAACAGCGTCTTGAACAAGACCTTCTAATCTTTCAAATTGATTACCCATAGTCATGGCACCACAATCAATGCCTTCACCATCAGCTAGTGCAGAACCTTGACGAAGCTTACTGATACGCTTGTCCATTTCATCAACCACCAAGTCATAAATCTCTTCAGCAACAATAATACGTTCAATACCAATACAGTTCTGACCACAGTTTTGGAATACACCACGCATTAAAACAGGAATGGCTTGGACCAAATCAGCGTCCTTTAAGAGAATAGCACAGTCTTTACCACCAAGTTCAAGCACACATGGGACCAAGTAGTCAGCAGCATTACGTTGAACTAGTTTACCAACAGCAGGAGAGCCAATAAAAGTGACATGGTTTACACCAGAACGCACAACTTCTTCGCCAACGTCAGCAAAACCACTGACAAAGTGGACAAGATCAGGATCAAAACCATTGACAGAAAGACAGGTCTTGATGATTTGTTCATAATAGCGAGAAGACCAGGCAACATATTCAGAGCATTTGACAATAATACCGTTACCTGACATAAGAGCAGAAATGACAGGGCCAATAGCGTTATGGAAGGGATAATTCCAGCTGACAAGAGCAGAGACTACACCCATAGGTTGATAGACAATCTTTGCGTTCTTATACATCATCATCAAACCAGGACTACGATAATCGTCCATCAATACATCCTCACCATTATCAATTGTCCAACGCAATTTAGCACATGTTGTAATTACTTCACCCAAAGAAGCATCAATCACTAGAAGTAAAGTTAGATCACATAGATGTAGAATATACGTCAACTTACTTGTTTTACCAGTATCTCTACAGCCAACTTGACAAATTGTTTCTTGATTTTCTACTACAAAAGCCAACAAAGATTTAAGAACAGCACGGCGTTGCTCAAATGTGGTTTGAGCCCACTTTAATTGAGCGGCAGCGGTGCGTTTGTATAAATCTTGAACTTGTTGAGCAGAAGGAGAAGGAATAGTGTCAAGATGGAAACCAGTAGAAGGATCATAGCAAATGATGTTTGAAGGATCACTAGCATTCTATAGATACACAAGAAACCTTAATTTAAAAAAATAGGACAATTTTTTTAAAAGATACTTACACGAATACTAGGACTCTCAAGAACTTTGCCTTTCCATTTGGGGTCGGCAGCTATATAAAAAACGCGTTTAGTTTCCCTGAAGGAACATACACTAAGTGCTACACTTTACTGTTTCATTACCTTCTGGCACTGGCACAGTGAACTTTTTAGGAGAAGGTGTAGTTAACCAGTTCAGTAAAAACCAACTCACAAGAGCTCCGAGACCAAGGGAGGCCCACTGCGAAAGACTCAGTTCCAACGCCATGGTGATAAAAGTTATTTGAAAGAGAAGAAGAGAAAGGAAAACAAGTTGCTGCCAGTTGAACCGAGTTAACTATTATCTGACTTTAAACAACAATTAAGTGTAACTATTGAAAACACCTATTATTGAAAGAGACTACTGTCCGAAGAAACCTCATCCCGGGGAGGGAGGGCGGTTATGTAATATTCCTTAAATGAAAACCAACGCGTGATTTTGAGGCGCGTCTTTCTTTTTTTTTTGCAGATTTCTTTTTCTATTTCTTCCAATAGTTATGGTTCGTGTCGCCAAAAAGCAAGATACTCCAGAAGAAGATAGGCTTGTTTCAAAGTTTTTAAAAGAAGGTAAGAAAAATATAAAAATAAAAGACTATACCTCTACCACTTGGGGCACTGTTTGAGATCTATAAAGGTGGCCTTGTGGCAGAGGTGTAGAGGCAGGAGAGAAAAAATTTTTTTATGATAGCTCATATTCTTGAATAGAACCAGTTCGTCATATCGAAACTGTTAAGACCAACTGGAAAGCAGCAAATATACCAGAAGACATTCAAGTTCATTCTTTTTATGTAAGATTTGACTTTTTTTGTGCCTGATTATTATGTATATTCAAAACGCTTTTATAGGCAAAGCTCAAGGAAGTAAAGCAAGCCATTGATGAATATATAGAAGGAGAATATGAATCCTACAAAATTGATCTTGCCGAAAAGTAAGTAAGGCTCAATTGAGCAAATCAGACTTGTTATTAAACATATCTACTTTTAGTGAAAAAATTGAGACTGTTCGCAAAGAAAATGTCTTTGGAGAAGAAGTGACAGAGTCTGAAATGGATATCATTCAAAAGCGTGTGGCTCTTCAACAACGCCAATTCAAGGAATTTGAACGTAGAGAGCATGCGCGTAAATCTAAAAAGATTAAGGCAGTGTACGACTATTTGACTGATGAAGAAATAACTGAAATGCTACAAGACTGCAAAAATGATGAAGTAAGAAATTACTTTTTTTTTTTTTTGTTTATAAAGACTAATTGTAATTAGGAAGAAGTCATTGTTCGTCTTACTCAGCCTGGGTATCTCTCTAGTGTTCGTAAAACTATTGCAACTAAGCATGCTCCTGAAGTTGAAACCTCGCATAACTCTATGAGTGCTGAACAACAAGCTGCCTATAAACAACTTTTGAAGAAACGTTCAGAGACATTGAAAAAGACAACCAATGAGTCTGCTAAAAAGTATGTAGATACATATATGTGTGTGTGTACTCATCTGATAATAGACAATATCGCATGGGAGGTCGTTTAGGTTTAGATGAAGCACTTAAGCAAGTTCAAGAGAACCAAATTGATCCTGAAAAAGCATTTGAAGGCTGGTCATCGGCTCGTATTCGTGCATACCAAATGATTGATGAGAATCCCAACAGTTACTACTATCGTTTTAACGCACCTGGAGAAGAGCAAAGAAAGGGTCAATGGGCACCTCATGAACGAGAACTTTTCTTCAAGCGTCTTGAAGAAGTGGGTGCCAATGGTCAATGGGGCATATTTGCTATGAAAATTCCAGGACGTGTAGGGTACCAATGCTCTAACTTTTACAGACTCTTGATTGAAACAAATGAAGTGCAAGATCCAAACTATGTCTTGGATGAAAAAGGCAAAGCACATTACTTGTTTGATAAAAAGGGAGCGGATGGTAGTACTGAAAAGACATTTAGAACACACAGTAAGCATGGTACAGGGCGTGGCTCAGGCATTGCTTCCTCTTCTTCGACGACAAAGACAACAAGAAGAACAGCATCGGCTTCAACAACAACAACAACAACAGCAGCAGCAGCAGCAGCAGCTAAAAAATCTAAAACAAGAAAAAGAAAGACAAGGGGCTGGAATAGTGACGAGGATGATGATGATGATGAAGATGATTTTGAAGATTATAATGATAATTCTGGTACTTATACCTTGAGTACTCGCACAACCCGTAGAACAAGAGCTAGAGTGGAACCTGAAAATAATGATACCAATAACATGAACGAACAAGTAAACAGTAATGAAGAAGAGTATGAGATGGAGGAGAGTGAAGAAGATCTCAACTTGGATAATCCTCTACCTGGTTTTGTGGATCCTATTACCCTAGAAGAGGTTGTAAAGCCAGCTATTTCTACATATGGTCATGTAATGGGGTAAGTCTGGTTATACTTGACAATGACATGCTAACAAACAAACAAAAAAACAAAAGTTACGACAGCTGGGTTCGTTGTCTCACTAATTGGGAAGGCAAAAAGAACATTTGCCCTCTTACCAAAAAACCTTTAACAAAGAGAGATTTAGGTAAAGTTGTTTCTTGTTGATCGTATCACTCACTCTTTCATAGTTATCTTGACACATGAGAATATTGAAGAATACAGAGACAAAATCATTCAATAAAATATGTAAATAAGCACAGTGATATGCATAAAAAAACAAATTTGGATAAAATTGTAATTGTAGTCACTTGAATAGTAAAGAAGTCATCTAAGCAATTCCTCTCACATGAAATGAATCTGTATAAAACAAATGAGAGCTCTGGTGTAACAGAGTCATAAAATGTCAGAAGGCTCTTCGAAATCATCATTGATGCTGTTGGGGAAACTTCATGTTTTCATTTGTATTTTGAACTCTTCTGAATGCGAACATTTTCTTTCTCGAGCTTCTATTTGGAGTTTATTGCCGGTTTTGAATCCACAACTTGTTGTTTTCACTGAGTACTATTATGGCATTCAAACGCTTTCTGCTACGTGCTATTGTTGCCGTTGTTATTTTGCTTATGAAAGGCATTGTCGTACAATCTTGATGAGAAGAATACATGCACACCATCATTGGATGTTAGTCTTATAGGTAAGACTCAAATTTGAATCTTATGTTGTTTGGCTTTCCTAAATAATAATTTCAACAAGTCCTAGACTCTAATAATATATTTTTTTTTTCATTATTATGTTCAATACCCCCATGTTGTTCAAACTAAAGAACAATTTAGAATGAAAACTATAATTCACGATTAGTCTTGGTTCAACCAAGCCCACTGAAACATGACTTTTCTGATATAAAAGGTCTTTTCTAAATAAAGTGTTAGACCTACTAAACAAAAAAACACAATTGCTATATAACGATACTTCTTCTGTTAAAAGATCTTTTTTTAAAAAATAATAGTCGTATTTTAACGGTTTTATTGCATAATTTTTTTTTATTTTACTGTAAAATATTCAAGAGTACGTTATTTCGTGTCCTTGTGATCATATGTAATTTTTGAGAAACGCTTTTTCCACACGAAGATAATGAATTTGAGCAATAACAACTTATAAGTTATTTCATAAAAAATAAGTACAAGAGGAAAAAAGAAAGAGCAGTTGATTAGTGTAGATCTATTTATCGCTTGTATTTTATCAGTTGACCACATTTGTAATGATGAACAAATTGCTATTGTTGTTTATCATAAAGAAAGCTTCAAATGTATATAACATTTCATTTGTAACACAAAAGGGTACTCAGCTGTGTTTCTTTAATTCATTTATCTTTTTATAAACATTTGTTTATAAGAACAAGACAGATGCTTTTTATAAACTGCACGATGCAGAATGAAGAAACAGCAATATCTAATTTAAACCAGGCATTCTGGAATAGACTGCGATGGTTTAGCAGCATCTTTAACAAGTAATAAGCAGCTTTGATAGCATAATAAACATCGCCAAGCTTTTCGGTTTTATTTTTACAAATATCTTCCGTCTGGCCAGTGCTGAATAGCTCATACTAACTGTCTATAGAGCATCCCAGTGCTTGGTTCAATCGACAAGTCCTGCTTTCATTTCTATTGTCAGTGCACTTCAAATCAACAAAAAATTCAGAAGAAAATTTCTAAGCAAAATTCAAAGCATGAAATCTTCTCTATTGATCAAAAAGATATAGTTTATACAAGAACGATCAGCTTGATGTTTTGAATTCGTCTAAATTAAATTCGAAAAAGCGAGCCATTTGGTTTCCTTTTTGAACCTAACATATCCCAAAAAAAAAAAGCAAACAAGTCCGACCACCTTTTTTTCAAAAATATTGTCCAAGTGACGATAAACCACTGCATTCCTTTTTTCTCCTTTATTTTCTTTCTTTAATAATGAAACAGAACCCTCTTCTTATTCCAGAGATAGCACGACTTGTGTGCACTTTTGTTCATTCTAAAGACTTGCTTAGCCTTGCACTGAGCTGCCGAGTGCTCTACCACGCGTCTTGCTTTCGGCTATGGAGCACATTAAATCCAAAATCACATAGAACACTACGAAAAATTAAAAATACACTAGATAATACTACATTTTACAACAAATTTGTATCAAAGTTATGTCTTTCAGCCAAAGAAGACCACCTTGAACGCTTTTTTTTTGATTGTTTCTTGTTTCCAAACCTAAAAGAATTGGAATTCTCGAATGCTGCAGCACAAGATCACATCGTTTATCCAATCATTTCAGCGGCTCAAGGTTCATTGTATTCACTTGATTTGTCCCAATGCTACTGTCTTTCAACAATGACCATTAGACCGTTGCTAACAATGCCACAGAATCAATTAGAATCATTGGTGCTATATGGCTGTGGAAAAATTGATGCACAAGTACTTGCCAATGTGATACATCGACATGCTGATACACTTGTACGTTTGAGACTCACAGACATCAATGATACCATATTGGACGCAATTCAAAACTGTAAGAAACTAAACGATCTTGGCCTTGAGCATTGCACGACATTGTCCAATTCAGCTTTGACCAGGTTTTTTATCAATTTTGTCAAGAACAAGGTACAATTAAGCCATTTGCGATTACGTGACATTGACAACCTGACTTCAAGTCATTTGAAATTGATTGCTACTTCAGCCAGTCATTTATCACTTGCTCGTATCGATATGAGTGAATGCAACCAAGTCAAATCAGACGGCGTATGCTGGCTGGCAAAAGAGTGCATTCATCTCACTAACTTAGCTTTGGCGTATCAAACGGGCGTTACAAATCAAGCCATACAGGTACAGTCATAAAAGGAAAGCTATTTACTCACCTATTTATTCTATTAGCTGTTTATTAGTAACTGTCACCAATTGACACACGTGGACGTTTCTGGCTGTCGACTTCTGACTGATCATGCGTTTATCCCACTTATAAATGCAGTAGATGATAACCTGATGAAAACTACACTTGAAACTTTAAATCTCAGTGGTTTAGACTCAATATCAGCTACACTGATACACCAACTGTTAAATAAAGTTTATTCACTGCAAGAATTATGTTTGGGTGTTACATACGATCTAGATGAAGCAGATCGCATTCTCGACGTAGTAAACAGTGGAGGAGAAATACAATTCTTTATAGACTATTATACCATCTATAGATTACCGGCATCAAAGAAACAAAAGACAAGATTAAGGACACTAAGTCACCATGAAAGAAGCACAGTTTTATCAAATGATACGAGTGTACCTATCTTTTCACTACCATCTGCATCCACTTGGAATTTACCACCACCCGTTTTCCCATTATAAATTTTAGAGCGACTATTATTTTAATAAAAAAAAAGAGTTTGGGAGGAGTGGGGGAATATGTTAGGAAGTATATTATTATAAAAGAAAGTTTTGGACATCTAGTGTTGTGTAAAGAATAATGCAAATGAATATAAACAAAAAATAAAAATAAGGGGGTTTGCTTAACCACCCTTACCGTGAATAGAGTAAACAAAGAAGAGAACCCAAGCACTGATAAGAGCAGCAATGAATATACCAACTGTGAAATAGTTGAATTTCTTGTAGGGAGTCTCTGAATAAGGATCCTTGCCTCTGGAAGTCAATTCAAGTTCCTTGTCATTAATTTCTTGCATGCGAATAGTACGCTTGGCACGTCCAACTTCCAATAGGTTACCATAAAAGTAGAATTGGTTGAACCAAAGAAGCAGAATTAAGACAAAACCAATGCCGGCCAAAATAATAAATGTCAACATCACATTAACATAGGATTGACCAGCAGTATTATCTTGAACTACACCGACAGCAACATCAAGAATAGATGTACCAATATTGTTTGAACTCTTGTAAATACCCAAACCAGTACCAATATAGTCAGAAGGCAAAAGCATACCAATAGAAGTGATCATAGAAATAGGACCAAAGGCAAGAGAAATAGAATAAAAGACCATACCAACAACAGCATCTACATAGGTCCAGCCTAATAAACCAGAACTGAGAATCAAAAAGATGGAAGAGATCAACAAAATAATGACACGACAGCCGTAAAAGTCCATGATAAAACCTAACACAGGTGTGGCAACAATGGGAACAGCTTGAGAAGCACTGGCCTTATAACCTGCCAATACATCACTGGTACCAAAGTGCTTAGAGATCAAATCAGTGGCAATGGTTTGGAAGGATGACCAAACAGCAGCATAAATAAATTCAATCAAGATAATATGCCAAAAAATAGCAGGGAACTTGAAAATAGAACGCCACTTAAAGGTTTTTTTTCTCTTAAGAGTTTCTTTTTCTTTAGCTGTCAATGTTGCTTGACCTTGAAGGTAACGCACCACAAGAGCATAGATAAGGTTCATGGCGATGGAGAAGCAGCAGAGAATGAAGGATAGCCAAAATGACCATACCCAGTCACCACTTGCTTTGGCAACTGAATTGGCTACCAAGGTACCAAGAAAAGTGGAGAGACGACTGATAGAAAGTTGAAGACCGATGGCAATAGACAAATGACGGGTACGGAACCACTTTGAAAGCAGAGATTCTTGCATTGTTACAATGAGACCACTACCAATACCAAACACAACACGTGCAACAACCATGAGTGCATAAGAGTTATACTTTGCAGATATGGCAGTCAATAAAGAACCGAGAATAATCATGAAGTTGATGGCCAATGTGCCCCATACAGAACCAAAAATATCAATAAAGATACCACCTGCAATAGGGAAAATGGTATTGATAATGGATACAGCAGCAGAAATGACACCGTACTGAGTATTTGTGATAGCAAGATTCTGTTGTATGTTAGTTTACATGTCATATATATGCTAGAATACTTGCCGAAACAATTTGCTTCTTCATGGCAGACAGAGCACTTGCAGAAAAGTGAGAACCAACTATGAAGAATAAGAGTTAAATATCTATATCATCATTCAATTAAACACTTACAAGGAAACAGAAGAGCAGTAAGCAAAGCGATTAGCTTGTATTTCCATGGTGCATTTGCAAGAGCAGTGTCACCACCATAAGTTTTGACTTCTTCGCTTCTGTCTTCTTGATAATCATCTTGTAAATATTTTTCGTTCGAATCTACCGCCAATTTCTCACTTTTGTTATCCATGATAATAGAGATAATAAGTAGAAAAACAAAAGAAAATAAGGAAAAGAAAAAAAGAGACAGAAAAGCAACGTTATTTATATTTTCTTTTCATCTCGAGCGGGAGCAATCAGTGTTACGCATAGAATCTGATTAACCTGGTTGAAACGGATCCGAATTACTGCTATTTCATGGTTACAATTTCGTCTATTCATTTACATGATTTGCTTCGTTTTCTATTTCCACTTGAGCTAGAAGAATAGAGATTACATTCAGTCGCAATCAGTTTTATTTGTTGTCGATTTTATAGCCGATTTATCAGATCATACATGTATGTCGTACTAGTGTCATCTCGCTATAAACGGATGTTTGTAAAAAAAAAAAAAAACTTAAAACTCTAAAAGAAAAGAGTTTACCATATTTATGTTTGTGTGTTATGTTCCATGAAAATGTCTTTTTACAAAGTAGATGTGCTTTTTCTTTTAAACACATCAACTAATCGATGTAGATCTGTAATTGCAGAAATTGAAATTTTACTGCTTTAAATCAATATAAATAAAAGATTTCTTTGGTCACTAATACATTAAGCGGGACATCAATAGTTTATAGAAATCTAAGAAACTAATTCTGTGGCAATGTAACATGCTAAAACAGAGAAAGATGTCGATTTATTATCGGTTCAATTATGATTCAATAAAAAAATCTGATTAGAACTAGTTACTGTATGTATTTTTAATTGGTGTACCATAGCCATTGAGTAGAAAAAAAGAAAGAAAAAGAGGTCCAAGTGCCTATGCATTATCTGATCTAAAATGCTACCCCCCTGCGATAATCAAAATGCGAGAGGATCTTTCTTACTCTTCTATTGTCAAAATGTATTACATTTGTCCTATCTGATTCTATTTTTTCCCTGGCTTCCCAAGTTTAGGCGTTGCAATTGCTTCAATAAGAGAAAAACAAAAAAAAAAAGGATTCATATAGTTTGGTACTTGTTGTCTAAGGTTACTCAAAAAATAGAAATATTTTATTTACATTTGGTTTATGTCTAGTTCTTTTTAAGCTACTTTTGTCTGACGAGCGTGATTCAGGTATTCTGATAAAGGCTTGATCTTTTCAGGTAACCACTCGCTGTTATAGATACACAAGACACGGACACGCTCATTATAATACAAATCAGGTAGTAATTTTGGTGTAATCAAAAAGTACCTGATAATGCGTAAGCACAAATCGCTAAAATGCTCAGGTTAGAAACTTACTGCGAAGTGCCAGGTCTGCTAGCGCCCTTGACAATCTGTTCGTGGATCATACGTTCATTTCTAGGATCCATACCTTGATTGATTTCATCAACCACACGGAAAGGAGATTTGGCAAGATCTTGCAAAGACATCAAGTAAAGAATAGTGGTGACAGATCTTTCACCACCTGATTGACGTTGACCAGTTAAAAGTTGGAGCTTCTCGTTATCTCTAAACTTTACATAGATATTAATACCCCATCTGTCAAAATCAGGAGACTCGTCAACGCTGATTTGACCTTCACAATGAATACCTAAATAGAAAGAAACTAGTCAGCATTTGGACTCTATGTAATTAGTTATTACGTCTAAACGCAGCTTGAAATTTGACATTGATTCGTTCTACCAATTCTTTGATATGAGGAGCCCATTGATCCTATAATGAAGCATGTTAAGACACAGAGCAATTGTTGTTGTAGGCTCTCACCTTGATGGTAGAAATCTTGTTTCTGAAAGTTTCAAGCTTCTGCTTGTTTTGCTCCATTTTAGCTTCCAGTCCTGCAATCTATTCAACAAGGTCAATATAATATACAGTCAACTTTTAAGTAACTTACTTCTCTTTTTCTTTCTTCGTAGTGCTTCATGGCATGTGGATTGGCAAAACGAATGCCTTCAGCTTTACCTTTTTCTTCTGCAATTTTAGATTCAAGGTCTTCAGAGGTAATGTCCAATCCACCTTCTTCTTTCCATTTGGTGACAATTTCCTTGAAAGCTTCATCCAACTCCTCGGGTAGTTCGTGACCAGCTTCTTTACATGCTTCCATAGCTCTCCGTGTCTCTTTTTCAGCTATCATGTAATCTTTCTTTGCAGCTGACAAGTTTCTCTCTGCACCTTCTAATACACTTGCGTGCTCCTTACGGTAGTTTCGAGCAGCGGTATGTTTGGCGTCATAGAAAGCAGATTCAATATGAGCAATGTTTCGTTTTTCATAGAGTTTGATGCACTCAGCAAGTGCTTGTTGATATCGATCAAGAACCCTTTCTTCGTTTTCCAACAGACCTTGAATGGATTCTTCAAGTTCCCGAATTTTCCTCTTGTCTTCTTCAGGTTTCTTTTTAATTCTTCTAATTCGGATCTGGTCATTTGAAGTCTATGCTTAAACTTTTCGTATCTTTGAAGTTGGATTTGAATATCTCTTTTACGAGCTTGTAAGTCCTCTTTCTTATGTTTGAGTTCTTCAAGTAATTGTTTAATGCGATCATGCTCAACATGTAGTTCTTTAATTTCTACATCAGTTTGTTGCATATTGCCCTGAATTGTTCTGATTTGCTCAGTCAGTTGTGTTCGAGCTTCAACATCCACTGCAATACAAAAAATATCGTTAGCATGACAACATTTTGATTGTGTTCTTTACCTGAATTGCCCAAGTACGTAGCAGGACGAACAGAGGTAGTGGTGGTTTGTTTACTTTTTTACCATAAATACTAGTCTTCACATTGTAAAAGGTTTGGCCAATAGCAAACTTTCTGAAAATGTTACTGTTCACAATATCCAATTCCCTTGAGCATTCAAGAGCAACAGGGATCATATTGATATAGACCTCATTACAAAGAAGACGAAAAATTGGGTCAGGACATTGAATTAAATCACTGACAAAATAATCCATTTTGTATCTTTCCTTGAGTTCAGCAGGTGTTAAACGTGTTTTGATGGCATTGTCTGGAATTTCGCCTGGCCAATTAATACTGACACTCCATTTCATTTTTTCAAAAGCATATGCTGCAAATTTGACATAATCTTCTTGCTTTTCACAAATAAAGGTCTAAAATAACATGAGGATAATGCAATTATAGTTTGTCATTTTACCCTAAAATAAGAATTTCTGGGACCACCTAAAGCACTCTCAACCAAATCAGCATATCTATCGTCTTTCAAGTTTAAGTGAAGTACTAAGGGTTCGTAAACTCTTCCAGCAAACTGGTCCTTATTTTGTCTTAACCATTCATAAGCTGCAATTGTATCGGGAAATTCATGTTTTAGTTTGGTGAGACGGACTTTGGTTATGTTTTCAAGCTGTTGCTTCCTATTAAATAAATAAGCTTAACTCCGACTTTGCTTTACTTACTCTTTTATCTTGCTTTCTAAATCTCCTCTAAGATTGTATTTAATCTGGTTCTTTTCTCGCACTTGCTGCTGGATATCCGATGACTGTAAATGCAGCTTGTTTGATTCATTATTAATTTCTCTCTGTTGGTTTGTTAGAAACAGTTTTTGAAATGAAATAAAACTCACAATGCCTTCTTCAAGCTCAGAGGTATCCCCTGAAGGTGGGGTTTCCAATTCTTTTTCCATATATTCAATTTTTTTAATGCATTCATTGATTTGCTTCTCTCTTTCAGGCAACTTTTTCTTGTGTAAGTCAATCTCCTTTCGAGCAACAGTAATGTTTTCTCGCTATTCAACCAAAGTTAGGTTGGAACCTTGTATAGCTATTAAAAATACTTACGGCAGCTTCAACACTTTGCAGAGTGCTTCTTACTTTGTTAAATGCCTGTTTGTAGTCCTTCTCGGCATCATTCTTTTTCCTGGTACTATTCACTTTTTCAATTTCGGTTTCCCTAACATAAAAGTGTTCAATCTAAAGTCGTTACATGTATGATATTTACTTGTAAAGATTTTCTACAGGAGCAACTTCTTCTTTTGCTTTCTTAACTTTTTCTCTTTCGTTTTGATATGCCGCTTTAGTTCTTTCAGCTCTTTGATTAGCATCAGTATATTTGACAAGAGGAATTTGAGCTTCTAAGAGCTTGATGCCATCTTCAATCTTTTTTCTTGATTGCATTCGAATAACGTCTCTTTCCAATTGTTCGTTTCGACTATTGAGAGCTTTTAAATGACTGAGATCAGATTGATGTTGCTATAAAGAAAAGAGTTAGCATGCATAGTATGTGGCCATTACTACCTTTATCAATGACTTTTCTTCAAGTCTTAATTCGACCAAATTCTTTTGCATTTCATGCAAATCACTCTTTCCAGCTGCAATTTGAGTTCTTTCTAAAAGTTGAGCAGGAGATAACTACAAGAGAATATAAGATTTTTTTAAGAAAAATCAACAGACTAGAGTACATGCCTCTGCAAATTCAGCAACACGATCTTGAGGCAAGAATTGACTATAGTAGACATATAGTTATAAGATATGGTTTAGGAGAAAAGCCTACCATAAATTATCGACTTGAATATTGAAGCCATGAATGATAGCCATAACATCTTTTTGAGTAGAAGTCTTGTCTAAACTTGAGGCATTAATTAATCATGAAGACAGGGTATGTATATGTACCATTAATTCTCCAGCTAGTCGCATTATTAGACTTTCTAAAAGAACGTTGAATAACAACATTTCTGACATTGACTTTTTTAAGTTCAATTGTAACAACAGCTTCGTCTGCACCTGTCTTGACAAACTCGTTGATGTTTCTTGCTCTTCCCAAAAGAGAAGGAGAACCACCTAAGCCTAATGCAATAGCACAGACAATGGTGGATTTACCAGTACCATTAGGACCAATGATCATATTCATTTGAGGGCCAGGAAATATTTCACAATAATCATATGTAACAAAGTTTCTCAATGTTATCTTAACAATGGAGCCTTCTACAAAGCTACAAGTGTTCAGTTAGCATACTGAATCTTTCTTTGATGAAATACATACCCGTCTTCACCTACTAACATAGGCTTGATCTCTTCTATTGACTTATCTTGATCCATAATAACTGGTGTGCCGTTGCTACTTTCTTCAGGTTGATCATCTAATCTCATGCGCTTGCTAGAGGAAGGAATAAAAGGAAGATCGCTTTCCTCATCCTCTTCTGAATCGTTTCTTATTCTTCTTTTAGACATATAGACTATTGAACAAAAAAAAAAAGATATAAAAAGAAACGCGTCAAGTCCCACCAATCAAGTAGGCGTGTAAAATGCAGAATGGCCTTCTTTGTTTGATGTGCTCATTGTGGCACACACACACACATATATATATATATAAACAAAAGACAATTATTCTTTTTATTTAGTTTTTAGACAATATGGATTTGATAGACAATAACAAGCAGCTCTTTAGATGCGTCTCAATCAAGAAGGGAAAGAAATCATTAAAGTTTCGTCGTTGCCAAGTTAATCAATAATAAACTAACAATATGCTGGGGGAGCATTGACATATGTGATGTTTGCACTTTTAACTGCTTCTGAATATGGAGGAGGAATGTCTTGAACAAGTGCGCTATCAGGCTCTTGAATTGTTGATGGGCTTTCAAACAGATGTGAAGTAGATAAAGTTGAAGTTGCCATTTTGATGTATTCATGCAGAGAATTACGTCGATTGGTAGCATTTTTGCAGTTGAAATTAATATCAATTCGAACATCATTGCCACTTTGGATTGATCTTATGTCGAGCCGTGACCTCTTTGAGTGTATTCGAGTAAACTTTAAGGAAACAATGTTTGACAATTCTAGTTCACATGTATCAAATCCATTAGTAGAATTGATATCTGATGTTTGAGCAAGAAACACAAGCCGCTTGTCCGTTAAATGGACTGACGCTACTGAACATTCTTTGTAGGATAGGCTTGTGCTTGTGCTGTGGTAATTCAAGCCATAATATACAATTACTTGGAGAGAATCTTGATTGAAATAGAAGCTCTCATTGGCTCTTGGGGCTGGTGTCCGAGAAACAGGAAGAACATTTCCTGCTGGTGATGTTCTTGTAGTGTTTAAATGAACATTTGTTGTATTAAACGATAGCATAAAGACAGATAAAAACAACACCCTTCCATATTAACAGACCTTTGTATTAAGGTGCAGGTAGACTAGGGTTTTAGATATTTTTGGTTTTTGTTTAAAGAGGGGTTGTTTGAGACATAATCTCTATACAAAAGCGATTCACACTCATATCACTTTTTCCTTCATCAAATACTGTTATCATTGTGCAATGATCTTCATTGTCGTTTTTCATATAAAGATGTATCAGTACCTTCATGCATCCAAAATATAGCAAATCTTATTCGATAGTACAAGAACAAGAGTTGTGATGTATTTTAGACTATTTAAAAATACTGTCTAGACTCAAGCAGGTATTCTTGGCTTTTTCAAAAGAAGAATTATAGAAATTGAACTGACAATCACTGATCTAGTACATTACAACTTTTGATCGACATTCAAAACAATCACCCAGAAAAAAAAAGAAGCTTATGATGCTTGGCAAATGCATAAACAAAAGATCTATTGTATCTATGCATATGCCCATTTGACGTTATTGCACTATCATGAGCTTGAACACAGTATCTCAATTGACTCTCATTACTTTTTAAAAGATACATATATGGTAAAAAAACATTCAGGCCTGTTTGCAGCAATATTTTTTGGCTTCAAAACCATCAGCTATGAACTTGCTTTTACCTTGTTTAATCGCATAACGATTCCAGAGCCTTGAGAAAAGTTGAGTAGATTATTTTAGTATAAAAGGATGCTGATCCTCAAGTTGCATTCCATATCGAATCAATATGAAGTTTACAAACATTTTACTCTCTACTGCTGCTCTCTCCACCGTCTTTGTGGCTGCTGCTCCTACTGGTGAAATTTCTCGCTCTAATTCTATGTTAGCCAAGGAAGAAAAGTGGGACCATGACAAGTACAACTATGAAAACAAAGAATGCAACGAATATGATCAAGACGGTCATAAGCAATGCAAGGACTATGAAAGCAAGAAGTACTATGATGAAGACTACGAAAGCAAAGAATACAAGGATGATCATAAGGATGAAGACTACGAAAACAAAGAATACAAGGATGATCATAAGGATGAAGACTACGAAAACAAGAATGATGATCACAAGGACCGTCAAGTAAAGGACTATCGTGGCAAGGACGGCCAATACAAGGATCGTCAATACAAGGACTACAAGAACAAAGAGAGTGATGACAAGAAGGGTGATAAGAAGGATGAAGACTGTGAAGATGAAGAGAACAAGGAAAAGAACAAGGAAAAGAACAAGGAAAAGAACAAGGAAGAAGACAAGGAAGAAGACAAGGAAGAAGACAAGGAAGAAGACAAGGAAGAAGACAAGGAAGAAGACAAGGAAGAAAACAAGGAAGAAAACAAGGAAGAAAACACGGACTATAAGGACCAAAACAAAGATGAAAATAATGAAGAGAACAAGAACCAGAACAGCGACTACAAGTATGAAAATAAGGACTACAAGAGCAATGAAAACTACCACGGCAATGAAGACTACAAGAATGAAAACAAGGAGTACAAGTACGAAAATAAGGATTACAAGGGCAATGAAGATCCCAATGACTATTAATACCTGAAAAGCAAAAATATTCTCAATTATTCACGGTAGCTCTGTAACGCATATCACTTTATTCTTATAGTCATTCAACACTTGTCTCAAATCCACAAAAAAAATTGTAAAACTCTCACAAAACTCTCAAAAAAAACACTTTTTTTCTTCTGCATTACAGCTCTACTATACAATAAATTTTTGCTTTATCTTTATTTTGCATGTCATCGATGCAATAGTTCTTGAGTGCGTGTAAAAGCTTTCTTGCATAATTTTTTTCGCCGTTTTTTTAGATCCCCCATAGCTATCTGAAGAAAAAATTCGCTTCTTAATTTTTATTACTACCAAACATAACATGAATAATCCTACAGGTCACAATAAACTGTATAAAGTAGTAAATCCTCTTACTAGAATCCCGTAAAAAGTTGACAAGCAGGCATTCAAAGCAATTCTCAAGCAATTCGCAACTAACAATAACTTCACTATTGTCATCAACAAAGCTGACAAGAATAGGTTGAATTTCAAGTGCATTAAAGGAGGCAAATATAAGGATAGTCTAAAATTGGGTGATTTGGAGCGAAAAAAACTTGCTTTCACTGCCCGAAATGAATGCCCTTACCTTCTGAGACTCTCTAATCTCAAAAATGGAGGATTTAAATTTCGTTCTGCCAGAAGTGAAGAGGAAACTTTTCACAACCATCCCTTGGATGAGGCCAATTTGCTGAATACGCATAAAGGTCGTTACAGTAACTTGGAAGTTGAAGAGATTAGAGCTATCAGCATTGAAATTGATCAAAACTCCAAAGCTCGTGACATCCAAAAGTCAATTAGCATTGGAAATAAATACAACAAAGTAACTGTCCACGATGTAAACAACCTCAAATATTTCGCCAAAAAACCAGAAGCCATATCCAAAGCTTCTGAAATAGAAGCAATCAGATTGATTGAGGCAATGGAGAGCAAAAACTTTGTTCTTGCCTATCAATTTAATGCAGCTAAGTTTTTGAACGGCATCTACTTACCAACAAAGCAATGATTAAGAGAACGAAGCAGTTCACAGAAGTTGTAATCATCGATGCCACCTATGGAACCAACAATCTAAAGCTGCCTCTCATCAGTACATATGGAGTAAGCAACTTAGGCGTCATAAGACTTGCAACTTTTCCAAGTGTCTATGCATGGGTTAGCGATGAGAAAGAGCCAACGTATAAATGGTTCTTGCTGACTTTGAATGATGTCTTCAGTGGAGTTCTCAAAAATTCTGTTTTTGTCATTGACAAATGTCAGGCTTTGACGAATCAATTGGACATAGTGTTTGAAAAAAAATAGTGAAATTCTTTGTCGTTTGCATTTATCAAACAGCCTCGATGATCGATGCAAGCTCACAGTGTTTAAGAATATCGAAGCTCGGGATAAATTTAAGCAGCTTATTTTTGGTTTGATGTTGAACATATGTCTATTTTAAAACAGACTGATGATTTTTTGTTCGACAAGTCTAAATTTTCTAATGAAGATCAAAGAGTTGATTTTAAAAAATATTTTGAAAAACAATGGAAGGTAACTATGCACAAATGGGCTGGCTACTATGTTTCAGGACTTCAGCATATGGGATGTACTACAACTCAATGCGCAGAAAGTGGTCATGGCGTATTAAACCAAAGAATGAATGCAGTCAAACCTCTTTTGCTTGCTTTTTTTGTGATGAAATTGAAAACAAGAGAGAAACACAGTGGATGTGTTAGTGGGCCGTGAGCCCAGATTGCAGCATTTGCTCGGCAAGATTAGTCATAGAGCACTAATCATTCTTCGCTGGGAACTCAATCAAGTGGGCAGTGAATTGAAGCTGAACCAGCACTACGCCTGTAAAAACAGAGCGGTGTATGATATGCTTTTCCAGCACGATCTTTTGAACCTTGGTTCGACACCATTAGAAATGGAGAAGATTCCTCGTCGTTGGTGGATCATTGACCAGGCAATTTCCTCTTCTTCGTCTACAAGTAACCCAAATGCATTGATTTCCGAGCCAAAGCCTTGGATGAAATATGTTTTTGCACTTGAGCATACTTTCCGGCTTTGTGAAGGAAAATACCAGAAGATGTCAAACTTAATCAATAGCATTAATGACGTTTTAAGAAACAGTGAAGAAGATCTACAATTCGAGAATAGTGAGGCGTTTCTTTCAGAACTAGCTGAACATTCAAACATTTACCTGAAGTCATCTTACAAGATAAAAACTCCAGGAAGAAGAAGAAAATCACGCGCCTTTCTTCTTTAAAAAAAGATTCTACTGAAACTTCTTTTCGAAGACAATATTTCTCGCTGCATAAAGAACGACTTAATTTTGAAGAAGGCGAAGAAGGCGAAGAATTGATTGAAATTAAAGAAGATCAAAAAGTCAGAGAAGTGATTGAAATCGAAGAACATGAAAAAAAAAGAACTTGCGTACATTTTTGATAGAAACGCTAAGCACTGACAAACCCAAAAGATTAGGACAAAGCCAAAAAAAGAAAGTTTCAAGCTGAAGAAGTTAAAGATGACGACTTCAGTTTGAAATACCAGTATGAAGCATTCATTCCAAGAAAAAGGGCACGAACAATGACAATGGCTACACTTCCTTTCAGATTGCATGAAAGCAATCCTTTGGATGATGTTGTGCAAGCATTCGATCCTGAAGGTGATGGCTATTGTGGAGTGAGATCTGCAGCTTTCCTCGCTTCTGGAGAACAATGTGAATTTCCAGCGGTCAAAATTGTTATGTTGAGTGCGGTAGACAGTTTGGAAAATACCTATACAAATTGTTTTGGTGTGAATGTAGATCGACTTCGTAAGACACTTACAAAAGGCATTGATCTTGATCCCGTAGATGTCAAGAAACGTGATAATGATCCCGAATGTTTTGGTATGAAAAAAGGGCTTGTGCCTCATCACACAGCTTGAACAGCAGGAGTTGAGTATTGGTTCAACAGTCCCGATTGCTCCCAAGCATTAGTCGACGCCTTTGGCCGACCAGTTTGTGTGTGCCCTCTCCCTACAAGCAAGAATAAAGCAGAAGGAAGTAAAATCAGGCCAATGCCTTTAACTTTCCTCCCTGTGAACTTGCCAAAAAATACATCCATCAAGCCTTCACCTATGCATTTGCAGAATGTTGGACAAGTGCATTGGGGTGCTTTAAAGATGAAGCAAACATTTAAAAAAAATCCTCCTGCGTACTATTTGTGTTTCAACCTACAAGGTAAAAAAAATGACTTTGTTCGCTATTGGAACAGATGGGGTCAGTTTCCAAAGTAAAAATAAAATGTTCATTAGCTATTCTTCGGGCTACCGTTTTTTTTTTTTTTTTTTTTTTTTTTTTTTTTTTTTGGAAGGGGAGGAGGATATAACTGTCGAGGATCTAAAAAAAAAAACGATGGCCCCTAAGAAAATTGTTTTTTTTTCCAGTTTCGTTTAACAAGATTGTATGCTTTCTCCGCGAGTAAGAAGTGGCTGCTTTCTTTATGAGCTTATCTTGGAATAGCTTTCAAATTCCAACATAAATATCTGTTAAGACACTTCTTTAAACTAATGCATCTGTAAAAGGATAAAGGCAAGAAATAGCATCTATCTTACCTAACAATTAAAGAAAGTGCTAGTTTGCTTGAAAGATAAGATACTCGTGTACCACAGGATTAAAAGTGATAGGTAAGCACAGTTAACACAAAGTCTAGTCATTACATGCAAATACATGATATTTCATATGTGTTTATTTCAAACAGTTGTTTGATATTTGCTCAAAATATACAGGCAAGAATTAGGATCATGGAATGATAGGTTCTCAATGCCATAATCTGTATAACAATAAACGGCACTTGAATTGGAAAAGTACAAAATGCATCTTTGGTCCTGCTTTATTTTTGCGCTTTTTATTTTATTCTCACACAGTTTATCATTATAACTATGGCCACTACAGTACTCAGTAAAGACGAACAAGAGAACCTTTTCAAGTTGGCATTAGAAGGTAGGGATAAAAAAATAATGGGCTGTATTCTTATCTTTTATAGCCAAAGAGACCTCATATTCCCCTTATTCCAAATTTAGAGTCGGTGCTGCACTTATGACTGAGGATGGAAAGATTTTTAAAGGTAAAACAATCAGTTGACGCGTAGTAGAAGAGGAAAATTTTTGACAAAACTTATTAAATAGGTTGTAATGTCGAAAACGCGTCATACGGTAAGTTCTGTTTTCTTTTTACAATAAACAACTTGTTTGCAAGCGGGGTGATATGACCTTATTCTTACTTTTTCTAAAGGTGCTGCTATCTGTGCTGAAAGAACTGCATTTGTCAAGGCAGTGGTATGAATTGATTATAATGGGTGTATACATGCGCTAATATATATGTATATATATATGTATAAAGAGTGAAGGTTATAAGAAATTTCGTGCATTGGCTGTGTCGACTGATCAGACAGAATGTATTTCTCCGTGTGGTATTTGCAGGTAAAACCCCCTCCCCGCGAAAAAACATTTGATACTCATGTAATATACAGACAGTTTATTTCAGAATTCTGTGCAGCAGAAATGCCTGTATATTTATTGAATACAAACGGCGAATACAAGGAACTCACAGTGGGTCAATTATTGCCTTTTTCATTTGGCTTGGAACAAGGTCAAAAATACCTTTTTTAATTTGATTACTTCATCATACCTGATGCTCCTGCTGTTACAAATCTTGCCAATAAACCAGTTAAAATATCTCTTCTTTGATCCATGCTCAGCTTTTGAAATGCTGAATATACCGAGACACCTATTTTAACACATATGTAAGGTATATTTTCTTTGCAATCAGTCATTGATTACCTTTATGATCTCTCACTTGACCCAATGTTTTTCCTGCTAAAGCACCCTATAAGAGAATTCTTTGAATGTTCTTTTCTTCACGTCAAAGAAAGACAATCACTTACCACTGCAGCGCCTGGTAAGTTACCGATAATGAAACCCAGAACAGCACCTGAGCAAGCTCCGAATATCCTCCAAACATGAGAAGGGTGTTCAACTGCATTATTTATTAAATTATGCGGTCGATTCAGTGAATACATGTCTTACCTTCTGGCTTTAATAGCTCTTCGAAAATGTTACCGAACATCTGGTTTGCTTGATTGCTTGACGCATGTGGTGTAGCAGAACTAAATGGTGTGAAGCGGTTATGATTTTTGGTCCTTGACTTGTCATACGCCTCACGTCTCGAGCGATCGCCTAGTATATAATAAGCATCAGCAACAAGTTGAAACTTTCTTGTGGCTTCTTCGTGTTCCTCTCTTGTAGCATCACTAGGTAGTCGGTCGGGATGGTTGATAAGTGCTTGCTTTTTATATGCTTTTATACCAGAAAAAGTTAAAATGCTTGGCATAAACAAACTACGTATGTTGCCTACCTTCACGGATATCATCATGTGTTGCTGTTGTGGGAATATCAAGAATAAAATAATAATCTGGGACGTTAGACATAATTTAAAGTGTATACGAATTGGAAAAAAGAAAAGGGAAGGATAAAAGCAATTGAGATGTTTAAATTGACTTGATCACGTGAAGTGCATCATGCATTTTTTTTCAGGTAAGGCTTCTTTCAATAAACTCATGCATTATGTAGGTAATTGTTGTATAGAGCAAGAGCAACAAGTTTGATTGAAATCTTATTTTATTTTAGACTAGATCTAGCTAAACCTTGTTGTTAATTCTATTGACGCTACTGTTCTAACAGTTTTTAGGTTTCTTGCAACTCTGATGTCATATGAAACTTAATGATTTTTGCTACAATCTTCTAGTAAATCAATACAGTATTTCTACTTCAAGTTCAGACGATGTTAATTTTTTTTTGGACGAATCAAAATTATTTTTCAGATGTTTAGCTTACCTTTTTTGGACGAAGTAAAAAAAGAAATTAGACAAATGAAAATTTAGTTACGGAAAACGATTGTTATGTTAAATTCAAAAGTAGGTACCTGCATTAAATAACCAAAGCGTTAACCTTGATGGATAGTTTCGGTGTTTTTTCTGCAAAATATTGCTGGTCTTCGACCAGTTTCTCGTAAGCTTTCAACTATCTTCTTAAAGTTCAGCACTGCGGCCAAGTCCCGGTTCCAGAGTTTTCTTCTTTGTTTTTCGCCGTTATCAAGACATTTAAGATTTTGACATCTAATAATCCAGTGGTTATAGTCATTAATAGCTCCATTCTACAATTATTATTATCGTCTACCTTAATAAACCGTGACATTCAACAGTTGGTGCATCGGCTTTTTTGTATGGGCGAGGGTTGACAACAGTCTTGAATGTCTCCAGTTCGCTTTCGCAAGTAGGGCAATATGAGGACGTTTTAAACTCGTCGATTAAAAGAACAGTAAATCCTGCCTTCTTCAACATTTTGATTAGGCCTTTACTTCTTGTGGGCTCCTGGAATTTCGTATTCGGAGCAGACCAATTACCTATCACTAAAATCGAGTTTTTCCAAACTTTAGCTTTAGCCGTTGAACCAAATTGGCATCATTTTGATCGTGATAGAGCTTGCTGTTGAATTTTATCTTTCTGAAAGGTAACAGTCGCAACTTTTCTAATTGTGTGCTTGCTTTGTGTTTTAACCCATTATCTTCATTACTTAAGGACATGTTACTAATCAGTGCATTTAGTGAGTTTTTTGTTGTTGCAGTCAGACGCTGTGCGATGTGCTTTTGTTTTAACATGATTTCCAAATAAGTCGCATACAAATTCAAATCAGTAGTGGTACTAGTAGTGTCTTTCGGTTGCGGATAATAACAAACAAATCTCCATAGTATAAACATCCTCGTCGTATTGAGAATTCCGTGACAGATCCAGGGAAATATGATTCATTGATCGTCATTGTTTCATTTCCATAATATCTCGTTAATACATGTGTGACAGAGGCTCTGGTTTTGATGTAATCCCTAAATTTTGTAATGTCTACTGAAGAAGATACGGTTTTAGACAAAATGAGTTGGGCGATTTTTACTAACTCTGGCGTATTTTGTTTGCTTAATATTTTGTTATGTCTAGTCAGCTTATTTCTAGTGATTTTTGTATATTTTAGAATTTGGGGCTTCTCCTTCGTACTTGACTCTTGCATGCAAAACATAAGGTCTCGTCTTCCAGGGTCAATTAAAACGTATTTGCCTTGGTTTTCCTTCAGTGTAGCAGGTAGTATATTTTCGACATACTCCTCGTCGATAGTATCTGTCTTCTTATTATTCATTCTTGGCTGCTTTTTACCCGTGGTGATATTCTGTTTTAACACTGAAGCACAAATACCATCAGTTTCAATGGTACCCTGAAATCGTAGAGATTTATTAAGTCCTTGAGGTTTGAATGATTTCTTGTTTAAATTAACGACGTTGCTCCAAATCTCAAACTTTTGTTCCGCCTTGAAGGAAGTTTTCTGCTTCAGTATGTGATGATGAACTATTTTGGAATCCAGAGTAATGTAGGATGGTATAAACGATGTTTTGATTGGAAAACAATTAAATGTTTTAGCTGCTTCAGTTTCCAGAAGTTTAGCAATCTTGTAGAAAGCATTGAAATGCTTCTCTGGGTGAGCTTTAACATCATAATAGATAGAATTCTTTTCGAATTTGTAGTTGTTTGGGTAAGTTGATAGTAAGTCCCTTACAGATGATAATGCTTTTTCATCCAGGACGTCCGAAGAAGGAATTTCTTTTTTTGATACAGCGAATTTCATTTTGTTAAGGGGTTCAAATACTTCTTTTCGGTGGGCTTCTTTTATAGCTTGTTTCGTGGCATTTACAGCTTGTTTCGTGGCATTTACAGCTTGTTTCGTGGCATTTACAGCTTTCATACGATGATCGAGACTGAGTATCTTTTCTTCTTTTTTAGAAAGCATGTTCAATAACATACGCAATCTGTTACCAAAATGTGCCTTGATATTATTGTGGTAAGCCGTATTAATTTTAGTACATTCGTACAATGCGAGCTGTTGCGCGTATTTTATCTCAAACGGAGTATTGAGCATCTTCAAAATACGATGATTTGTGACGAGATATCAATTCACGATAGATAGCGGTTCTATCTTTTACCTTTCCAGGAACATTACGACGAATGATCAGAGCCAGAAACACCTCTACGAAAAACTCCTTTGTTACAAAATCTGCCAAGCTGAAGTCAATGCTATTCTTTAGCTCCTCCAAAAATATGTATTTTGAGAAACTATAAGTATGTAAAACTAGTATATTGACATTGTCGACTAAATCGTATAAAGGTCGTACATGATCCTGATTCCAAATATTTTGAATAGTCGTTTTGATTGTGATCACTTGTTTAATTTGTTCAGAAACTGGGGAGCTTGAATTGGCAACATTTGAATTGGAGGAGCTTGATTCAGCAACTAAAGAGCTTGATTCAACTACTGAAGAACTTGGTTTGACTGCTGAAGAGCTTGGTTTGACTGCTGAAGAGCTGGGGGATTATTATGGAGCTTGAGCTAGCAGTAGCACTTGTATTAGAAGAGGTATGGACCACATTATTTTAGTCTTTTTATTTTCAGAACTATACGGCGTGTTTTCTTTACGTATATGAAAAGTTAGATTAGACCTGTACATAAAGATCATGTAATAAGACGTACTAGTTCTTTTTCTATACATAATCGGTTGGAAATCTTCATCTGAATTATCTTCAGTAACTTCTTGTTCGGTTTCTTCTGTTGTATCAGAAAAAGTGTGGTCAATGGGATTTCATCTATTTACTATAATATTCGACTTTATCAGTATTGATTCCACGACCATTATCAGACTGTTTTCCACTTCTTTTCATCATTTTTTTCAATTTTTTACGTATTTGGAATATAATAGATAGTATTGGCTAGAAGAAAGCTATTACACTATATAGTATATAATTGAAAGAAATGAAAAAAAAATGGATTTTTTGGTTATTTTATTCATTGCCACCAAATCAGAATATAGTAAATATGAGCTTTGACGTGACATGTTAAATATACATTCTTTTCTCTCGAAAAAACTTTTTATAACTTATGTAAGGTCACAACATCACATATAAAGCACACTCTTAAGTATGTGTTATCTTTTGAATATCCCAAATCGATGATGTATTACTAACAATTCAATAAAGTTGTCTTAAATTAGGAAATATGTATATAGAATCAACTGTTTTCTGAACAAGTCAGTAATAACTGAATGTACACGTACGGTTGTATAAAGAGGTTTTTTATAATGCCCATTAGGATAGGCACGAGAGCGTTATTTTTTTTTTTGGACAGCAGAAATAAAAATATCATAAATATTCTTAACAGCGTTGACATGTCGAATCAGACTAAAATCCTGTATTGCAAGTGTATATGACACTGCATGTATAGCACTGAACTATATATCAACCATTCTCCACTTGTTGTTTGCTACAAAAAAGCTCTTGAAAATATACTGTATAAGCATTTTGTTTCAGTAATTTAAAAAAAACCATCAAAAAACGAAATTGTTATCTTGAGCATCCACAATTAGATGAGCAATTCATCTTATTTTAAAACATGTCTTACAGCTAATTTTCATTTGTCTAATTTCTTTTTTTACTTCGTCCAAAAAAGGTAAGCTAAACATCTGAAAAATAATTTTGATTCGTCCAAAAAAAAATTAACATCGTCTGAACTTGAAGTAGAAATACTGTATCACTAACGGAAAAGTTTTGCTTATGTAAACCGAAGGTTCAGACGCCCTGTCAGCAGTCCAACATAAAAAAAACTGTCCGCATATGTACTGACAAACAGCAGCACTAAACGCCCTATAAAACATAGATAGGGAAAAAATATCGTCAGCTACAGGGTTCGAACCTGTGCAGGCAGAGCCTATAAGATTTCAAGTCTTACTCCTTAACCACTCGGACAAACTGACACTTTTTTCATGTCATGTGTGCATGTTTGTTTTGGTTCGCTTCTTCGTTCTCTTTCGCGGTTTTTCTGGTGATTCTATTATGTTAACAAATCTTCAAATTGGAATGGTGCATGTCTCTGATGTTTCTTAAAGTACATACAAAGTTTGGTGTGATTTGGTCTAGGTCTGATGGTACAATGGTGTTCCAAAGATTTCAGCCAATGGTTCTGTCTTCTGTCAGACCCAATCAGATTCGAGTCAAAACTACTGATCGGTGTGTCAATTGTTGGGTCTGGGTCTCAATTGTTGTACTTTTTTTTGGTTCCTTATTTGTCCTACTTCTTCCGTATTTTGTTTCATGATATGTTGCTGTGATTTAATTGTGTATTTTATTTTGTTTTATTTTGTTTATTGTATTTGACAGTTCATCTCAGTTTGAATCTGTTGAATTTTATAATTTAATTGTATTAATTGTTCTCCTGTTTGACATTTCAAACGTAATTGCTTTTTGGGCAAGTTTGATCTGTTCTAGATTAATGACAAGCAATTGTCTTTGTAGAAATTTATTCTAAAGAAAGTATAAAAGCTTAAAGAACTTTAGAAGGAATAAAAAATATCAAGAAATTAATCTTAAAAATCGAATTTTTTTTATAAATTTTATTTTACATATATCTTCATTGTCTTTTGAAGGAACTGTGCCTAAGGTTATAATCTCTCTATTTGTGTCTATCTCTCTATAATTACAATAGTCTTTACAGTCTTCTGTTGTTAATTATTGGTTTATCTCTTTTATTTGTTGGTCTCGTCGTTCAAGGTAAACACAAAGGGAAAAAGAGGGAGTTGTCAAGTGGTCCGGCCAACCAGATCATATATGTGTTCTAACATGTATTATTACTCAAGTTATATTATGTCTATTAAAGAAGCAAACTCAAGTACTAAACGTGGTGTTGGTATGAGGTTCATGAATGAGCCTAGAGAGTTCTCTGGTGAAGGTGATGGTAATTCTGCTTTGGTTTGGGTCAATCGTATGCAAAGGTTGAAGGTCTCAGGAGGTTTGAGTGATGAAGAAATGTTGTTCGTCGCTAGTGACAAGCTTGTTGGTAAAGCAGAGACTTGGTTCAACGTGGTTGGTGCAAATACAGTTACCTGGGATGCCTTCGTGAGTGCTTTTAAGAAGCAATATTTGTATGATCAAGAGGATAAGTTTTGGAGTCAAGTACAAGGTCTTAGACAAGGTGCTGAATACCCTTCAGTGGATGATGTTGCACTCAAGATGCAAGAGTTGTTCATGCTTTTAGACAACAAATCGCAGAGTTTGCAAGTGCGTACGTTTCTTAACGCTATTAAACCCAACATTGCTTTTGAGGTGGAAAAAGAAGGTGCACCAGTGACTTTTGAAGAGGCGAAAGTAAAGGCTATGCAGATTGAGCGTAGTTTGGTCAAGTACGCAAGTACTATTGGTTTTGAGCCCGTGGAGACTGTAGTCCCTAAGTTTCCTGTGTCTGCTCCTTCGGTTGCAAGTGGTTCTGTATCGGATGCTGCTTCTATGTCCAGTATGTTCTCTTTGGTGGACAAGTTAGAAAGGTTGAGCATTAATTTGGTAAACTTAACTAACAGTGTGGCTCAAAATGGTACTCGTGGTAATACTGGTGGTGTCGCTTCTGTTCGTCGTAATTTGGTCTGCTTTTACTGCAATAAAGAAGGACATAAGAAGCCTGAGTGTCCGGAGTTCTTGCAAAAGAACAATTTTGGGTCTGGGGTTGCAAGTGGTAGTAATGCTATACCCATTGGTAATGGGTCTTCAAACTTTTCTGGTGAAAGCCAGGGAAAAGAGAAGGAGTACCGATCTTAAAGGAGGTGATTGGTACTCGTAGTAATGGTGAAAATCCTCTAAAGAAAAATGACAAGTCGGTGAACTTGGTTGATACCCTGAATGACAACGGTGTTAACGAGATTTACGGTGTGAAGAGACCTGTGTCTGCTGTGCCAGTTGATACGCCGAATAAGCGGGGTAATAAGGGTAAAGCGGTGGATCAAGGTGATGTAGTCATGACTATGCCGGTTCCAGTTGGTAATGGTGCTTTTGTTCCTGCAGTTGATGGTATTGCTGCTCCTGTTAGGGGTGAAAATGTTTTTCCTCCGGTTGTTGGTGGTGCTGGTCCTGTGGTCAAGTCCAGGAAAAAGCGGTCAAAACCTCGTAGGTTACCTGTCAAGACTAATACCTTGAATGTTTGGGACACTTTGAGGAGTTTAGACGCTGGTCTTTCAATGTTGGATTGGTTAGCTATCGACCAAAGTGCTGCTAGGGATGTTAGTGATGGTCTGAAAGACTTGAGGCTGCAGCGACCAAAGAGGGCAAAGAGACATTTAGCTGCTGCGGTAGAAAGAATGAATGTTGGTGCTAGAATTAATGTAGTGGATAATGACTCGTCAAGTGATTCTGCTGGTTATGATTCTGGAGATTCTGGTATGTCTGGTTATGGTTCTGATGTTTCTTTGGACTCGGAGTTGGTGATGGTATCTGATGAAGCGGATTTGGCTTTGAGTGAAACAGAGTCGGTGTATAGATATCCATACAATTTGAATCGAATGAAGGTCAGCTCTCCTTTGCGTGGTGTGGTGACTATCAATGGTAATGCTGTTGAGGCTATCTTTGACACTGGGGCAAGTGTGTCGGTGATCTCTAAAGGATTGGTTGATGCTTTGGGTCTAGTACCAAATGGTGATAGTTTGCATTTGGTTGGGTTCAATAATAAGAAGGCGCCAAGCAAGAGCAATGTGGTCATGGATGTACCAATCTCTGTAGCTGGTAAGGTGCGACCGGATCATATGTGTGTACAAGACGAAGGTGACAAGAATGACAAGCTCTGTTTGCTCGGTGTTCCTTGGTTTCAAGCATACGGTATTGAAATTAATTTGTCTGAGTCTACTATTCGTATACCGTCTACAAGTGGGATGGTGAAGTTGCAGTGTTACACCACTCATTTGCCTGTGTCTTCAAGCAAGGTGTATCATGTTGAGGCTTCGCAAAAATATACAGAGACGTTTGAAGAAGGCTTGGGTCCTATTGGCGTTGAAGGTGAATCCAGGTCTAGTGGGTTTAATGGTGGTAATGTAACTGATGGTGTTGATCCATTATTGATGCCTGTTGTTGAAGAATTCAAACACTGTTTCTCTGAGGTGACTGGTTTGACGAAGATCAAGGGGTATCAAATGGACATTCATTTGAAAGAAGGTTGGGAACCAGTAACAAGTAGGCCTTTTCGTTTGGGGTGGCATGAGCAAGAAATCATGGACAACTATGTTGAGGAAATGCTAGCTCTAGATTTAATTGAACCAAGTGAAGGACTGTTTGCGTCTCCTGCTTTCCTGGTGGATAAGCACTCTGGTGAGAAGCGTGCTGTGATTGATTATCGAAAATTGAATAAGATGATTTTGTGTACTCAATTTCCTACACCTACTGTAGCCGAGTTGACTGAAGCCACTGCTAATGCTACGGTGTTTAGTACTTGTGATTGTACGTCTGGGTATCATCAATTGCCGCTTAACCCAGATCATGCTGAATTGACTGGTTTTGTTACCAAGAAGGGTGTGTTCAAGTACAAAGTATTGCCTATGGGGATTTCTAGTGGTTGCTCTGAGTTTCAGAAGGTGGTGTCTAGTATTTTCAAGGACTATATTGGTAAATTCGTCTTAGTATTTTTGGACGACGTCTTAGTGTACAGCAAGAGTATGGATGAACATGCTAATCATTTACGTCTGTTATTTGAAGCTTGTGAAAAAGCG